CAATTTTTATGTATCGTCTTAATAAGAAGGGGAATTAGGGCTTCAGGGGAAAGTGGATGGTGAGATAGTAAAGAAAAAAAAAAACACAAGTGAAAAGTATTGAAGTTTTGGTGGTTTTATACGTGTAATTTCTCATCCAAATAGAGTACTTTATCTCCCTTTGGAAGTGTTGTGACTGCTGTTTTTTGAGACTTTCTTTATGTCAGCAAAAGCAATATAGATCAAGTATTTGTTATTCTGTGGCTGCTCTTTACTTAGGTGTTTTCAATCCAAAATAATCTTCATCCACATTGTTGGATCCAAGTGGATCTCACTAATCCACTAAGAAAATATTGGCTGCCTACTGTGAAGTGGATGCTGGTGATTTAGCAGAGACTAAGACAGAAAGATTCTGCTCTCATTGAGCCAACATTTAAGGAGAACACAAATACGTAAAATACAAAGAATGTTAGTGCCCAGTGTTAAGGAGGAAACAAAGGCAGAGGGAGATTCAGGAAATTACAGTGTGTCAGGGGTATGAAGTTTTACACAAGGAGATCAGGAAGATTCTTTTTTTTCCTTTGAGACAGGGTCCCCTGTAGCCCCAGCTGGCCTGGAACTCACTATGTAAACCAGGCTGGCCTCGAACTCAGAAAGATCCGCCTGCCTCTGCCTCCCAATGCTGGGATTAAAAATGTGTACCACCATGCCTGGCAAGAAAGATTCTTAAAGGAGGTGGCTGCTTGGGCTGGGAATGTAGCTCTGGAGCAGAGCAATACCCAGGAGAGATCCTGAGTTCAGTTCCTTAGCTGGTGACAGTTTAATGAGCTGAAAGAGTCAAGATCTATTTCATTAGATATTTGACCTATTATATATAGCATTCTATTACTGTTATTGATGATTATTAATGCTTTTTTCAGATTTATTAAGGAGGCAATACAGACCAAATACTAATAAAACAGCCACGAGGTGACTGCTCGAGCAATGTGGTTAGGTCCCAAAGGGAAGTGCCTAGGCTTTTAGAAGGAGGCTCTTTCGCTGAGGTCCCTTGCTAGTGTGGGGACTCGGTGAGTCACCACTGTGTTGTCTGGCCTTGTCAAACACATCCTCCCATGCCAGTTCCCTTTCCAGACCCATTTTAGATGTATCTGGACAGGCAATGAAAAAAGGATGATTCTAGAAGTATTCCCATTACTGCTTGGAAATGCAGCTGTTGTCTCCCTTAGCAACAACATGACTTGCTAACCTATTGCCATAGAAATAGAATACAAAACATGTAAGTAGTGTAATCACGCTATTTTTCAAAGACTTTCCTCTCCCACCTCCTTTTTTCTTTCCCATTGTTTGTCATCTACCAGCCCCTGCCTTCGTGGGCATTCAGCTCCCTTTCTGTGCTCATTTATCTGTCCATCACATATATAATTCTCTATCTTCATAGAACAACCAGCTTCCGGTCTCACCTTCCTTTCAAGGCTGCCTTTTCAATTTATATCTTTTTTTTTAAGAATAGAGAAATCAGTAATATAAAAGCATCAAAGCAATAATTGTCATTGCCATGGTTTTGTTTGAAGTATGCTGGTTTTATTAAAAGCTCTTTTGATTTTTATTTGTGATTGCTTTGTTCAATAGGAGTCAACATCTATACCTAATACATAATTTAACAAAATAGTCTAGAACTCTTAGATTCCTAGGGGCAACTATATCTGCACAGCCCGATCAGGCTTATGTGTTCTTCACTATACTGAATAAATATCCCTGTGGAAAGCATGCTTTCAACCAAAACTAAACTAATACTGATTCTAACATTTTTCAAGACAGTCTTCTATAGCTCAGGTTGGCTTCAAACTTGCTATATAACCGAGGCTGGCCTTGAACTTCTGACTCTCTTGCCTCTACCTCCAGACCTGATAATGACCATAAATGATTTACTTTGTTACACACTTAAAAAATTCTTACTACATTTTCTATAACTTGATTAATTAAGAAGACAATTTCTGAGCATTCACTGCCAGCTAAATAATGCCAAGATGAGGGATGAGCAATCAGAGATGAAGTCTTTGTTCTCCAGATTGTGAGGCAAACAAGTGGGCAAACAAGTGCTAGGCTGCATAAGGTGAATGGAAGGGCTCAGGGTGTAGCTCTATGGTAGAGTGTCTGTCTCACACGCACCATGTCCTGGGTTCAATCCCCAGCACACTAAACAGTGACAGTATTGACCACAAGGTGAGCAGAAGGTCTTGGAAGCACAGCAGGCTATCTTGAGAGGTGGGCAGTCCAAGAAAGCTTTCTGGAGCTTTTTTCTACAGCATGAGGTAGAATTTCAGAGCAACTGGGCGGGGCTCAGAAGCTCTGGAGTCTTCCCCACAGGAAGAAATTGAGGGAAAAATGTGAGAAGCAGGCAACAGCAGGCCTGAAGGGCACTCATGCTGGGCTGAGGAGTTTGGATTTCATCTTGAAAGCATCAGAGAGCCAAGAAATCAGAGGTGGTGGTAATAAAAATCGAGGGTCACTTTGGAACTTCCGATGTTGCAAAGTTTATTGTCAGTAGTCTGGAGGAAACTTATTGGAGAATGGAACAACAAGAAAGGAGGGCACAAGGGAGATACATAGGGACCGGAATAAGTGTTAATCTGAGGCATTAGCACAAAGGAAAAAGATGTAACATGGATCTCTGAGACTGTACAAAGCATTTGTCAATGGATTTGATGTAGGGAGTAAGGAAGGAAAGATTGGAGTCTGTGAGGGCGATTGTTACCAGATATGAGAAAAGTGAATGTTGACAATACACTGGAACATCTTTATGATCCTGGTGTTTGGAAAAAAAATTAATACTCATTTTTTAAAGTTATATGGTAATAGAATTTCCTATATAACATGGATAATGAGAAGATCACAAATTCTTAAATATAAGGGTCTGGTCTTAAACTACAGCTCTGATGTTTTCACTGGAAAACATACTTCTGATCATTTGTAAACTGATAGTAACCATAAGACTTTTTTACTGAGGCTTGGGCTTCTATGACTGTCAGAGAAGATAGGTGATTGAAAGTGGATTTTTTTTCTTTTTAAATTTTGAAGTACTATAATAATATAAGGTGGTGATGATTCTCAGTCTGAGCTATAGGTTTCTGTTTCTTTGAAAGAGACATTGGCAAAGTTGAGCTTCTTTGTCCCTGCTAATGGGATTCCAGCCAACACAGCACAGCACTGCCAAGGTCTGGACCACAGGAATTGGGTGTGGCTATTTGGACTCTTTTGGGTGGTATTCTTGACCTATTCTTACTGCATCCTTATAGGATCCCAGTTTCATGTCCCACATCTGGGCAAATTGCTAGGTAATCTCTGCTGCTTCTTTCATGCCCCACCCCAATCCTACATCCCCTTCTTTGAAGAAGACCTTCCTGGTTATCTGCTCTGAACAGACCCTCCTTCATCCTTATATTAGGCACCTACCATAGGAGAGCTCCCTTAATGTACCTGTAGGTATCTCACAGTGGATGTTCAATGTTGCCATCAAGCAAACCCACATTTCCTCTCCAGAGGTAGATCTCTGTCCTGAGAGACAGAGAGGCTTGTATCCACTTTCCCCCTAGCATAGTGATTTCTCCAAGAGATACACAGCCTAACTGCCTTCAACTGTGGCTTCAAAACCTGTTGGCAACATAATCTGGAGCTGGTGCCAATATGCCCTATTGTCCCCCAGAGAATCTGATTATTATCTTGTATTGGTGGTTTGTTCTTTTTATTTCTGCTTCCATTTATTTATTACATGTGGGGTTTGGTTGTGTTTTTTGAGACAGGACCTCATGTAGCTCATGACCTTGAATGCTCTGTGTGTCTGAGGATGACCTTCAATTCCTGATATACCTCCCAAGTTTAAAATTAAAGAAGTGCTCCATCCAGTTTTTAAAACATTTATTTCTTTGTTTATTTGTTTGTTTGCTCTGTGTGTGTGTGTGTGTGTGTGTGTGTATTTGTGTGCCCAAGAGTGTATCCCATAGCACACCTGTGGAGATCAAAGAGCGACTTAGGGGAGTCAGTTCTCTACTTCCACCGTGTAGGTACCAGAACCTCAGGTCATTAGGCTTGTGCTGCAAGCACTTTTACTAGCTGAGCCATCTTGTTGACCCCATGCTTCTTTTTCTAAGATTTATTTTTAATTATGACTATGTGTGTCTGTGTGTAGGTATGTGCACATGAATGTAGGTACCCTCAGACTCTGGTCAGAGGCACCAGATTCCCTGGTGCTGGAGTTACAGGTAGTTGTAAGCCACCCGACATGGGTGCTGGGAACCAAATTCAGATCCTCTGCAAGAGTAGTATCTGTTCTTAACCACTGAGCTATCTCTCCAGCACCCCTCAACCCCATGCTTCTCTTTAGAATTAATTTGGTATTTATCTTTTCCCTATATCATATCTGAGTGTGAATTTATTTTTATCCTATTTAGGACTCAATTTCTGGAAGTTGCATTTAATTGTTTCAGCTCTCTGGCCTTGTATATCATTATTTTAAAATTTTTCTTATTTTATATATTTATGTACATATTTTACAGTTTCTGTGCCATTAGAGTCTCTAAATGTGTCTGCTAGAATTAGCCAGGTATGGTGCTATGTGCCTGTAATCCCAACAGTCTGGAGGTGGAGGCAGGGTAATTATGAGTTCACTTTGTTCACTGTTCTCTCCTTCCCCCACCACACAAATGTTCTCCTTTTTGCTTTCCTGACATCTGTATTCCATTACTCTGTCTTGTTCCCCTAAGAACTTCAACTTATTATTTCACTTGTTAAAGCTATTGATAAAAAATATGTTATTAAAAAGAACTGGTGTTTGCTGGTTCTAGAGTGCATGCCTATAATCCCAGCACTTGGGAGGTAGAGGCAGGAGGAGGGTACTTTCAAGGCCAACTTGGGCTATATAGCAAGACCCTGTCTCAAACAAAAAAGCTAGAGCAACAAAAAAAATGGTATTTTAAATGTCACTTGCAACTAATGTTTCAATGTTCTCCCCCCCCTTTTTTTAGTATGACTACGAATATGATGAAAATGGTGATAGAGTCGTTCTAGGAAAAGGCACTTATGGGATAGTCTATGCAGGTCGAGACCTAAGCAACCAGGTCCGAATTGCTGTTAAGGAAATCCCGGAGAGAGATAGCAGGTATGGTCTTTGTGGTTAATAAAAGCTCTATTCTAAAGTGCTTTAGGTTGTTAATAGTGTGGTAGAAAATATGTGGAGATACTCTAATTAATGAAACTGTCTGGAAACTCCATTGTGTTAATTCCATGTCAGGTTTGTCAGTACACTGTTTAGTGACTCAAGTGCAAGACTTACCTAGGGGTGGAATGGAAGTGGGGAACTCCAGTCAGGGAAGAGAGGGCTTTCAAAGACTGGAGAAGAGAATAGCCCTCAGTATGTTGGGTCTTGTTGGATAAAGGTGGCTTATTACAGAGATAGAAGGAGAATAAGGATTGTCTCCGTAGTTTCCAGTCCGTCATGTAAGGTGCTTCATCATCATTCTCCTCTAACAAGTAGATCACTGAACACATTGAAAATTAAACTGGTCTTTTTGGTTCCATCAATGATACTAGGAGATTGCTCCCTAAACTGGAAAGGCAGATAGGCAAATATAGACAGTCGCAATTCACTGGAGCAGAAACTTCTGTGGAAAGCAGTGTGGACAAGTCTGAGGTTAAGAATTCCCTTAACCCACCCTTAACCCACAGGGACCCACTTGTGGACAACCCCCACACTTCTGTGAGTTTCGCTTTCTGAAGTTGTGACATGCCCTCACTGTGAATATAAGAGAAAAATCTGTATTTGTGGCATGGAAAGGAAACATTTTAAAATACATCAGAGTATTGTATTCTTTTCATCAAGGCTTGTTCTCAGAAGAAACTGCCTGAGCCTTCCCAGATGAGGGGAAGGAACCTGGTAGACTCTAGCCCAATAGTCTGTTCCTCTGAAGAGGAATGCTAAGAAGAATTTTGGAAGTCACAGCCACCCAGGGACACAGTCTCAAAGACTGAGGCATAATCCCAGGACTAGAAAGAGACTCTCCTCCACAACCCACCATCACATTACTAAAGGCTTGTTTACTGTGATTCTTTTACCCAGCATATCACATCAACCTTCCAAAAAACATCTTAAGGCATTCTAAATGACAAAAACATAATTTGAAGAAAGCTAACAAGTAGCAGAGCCAGAGCCAGGTATGGCAGGCATGTCGGAGTTAGCAGACTAAGAATTTAAAGCAGCTGTAATTAATGTAATTAATATGCTAATGGCCAAAGTACAGAATCTGGGAACATATGATCAGAAGTGGAAATCCTAAGAAAGAATTTAGGAAGAACTTCTAGAGATCAGAAACACTGTGACAGAAATGAAGAATGCCTGTGATAGCTTTTTTTTTAATGGACAGGACATAGCTGAGGGAGGTGTCTCTGAGCTTCAGGATCTGTCAAGAGGAAATTCTGAAACTGAAAACCCATGAATGAAAAAGACTGAAAAGGAATGCGGTAGAGAATAAGAGTTGTGAGACCGCTACAAAATACACACATGTCAGGAGACTGCCAGAAGGAAAAGTGGGAAGGGACAGAAGGACTGTTTGAAGAAGTGCTTCCAACTACACATTATAGTTTCAGGCAGAAAATAGCATCATTTGTAGGTACAAAAGAGCCCCTTGGGGAGCTAAGCAGCTCTGATAAACATCATTTTCTTGCCCTGGAGTGTTGCCTCAGGCTTTGTTTCTGAAACTAGTAATTCATCTCAACCTCATGATATTCCTGACTCATGGTTTGTCTTAGGTCTTCACTCTGACAGCACTTCTGCAATCAAATGTACATTTTCCACACACTGTGTATTCAAATTCTGAAAGAGAGAAATGAATTACTTATTACCCTTGCTTGGCTAGATTTTAATGACAGGCTTATCATGAGCTTATTTTGGCTTCCCTCAGGACCACACTTGGGTGGCCATGATGATAGGATCACATGGTCAGCCTCCTTTAGAAAAGATACTCCCTCCCCCCAACTCCCTGGGTTACCCACCTGCCTAACAGTGCCATTTGTAAATCACAAGCATCTTCAGGTGTTTCCAAAATGGAACCATAGATTTTCAGCCTTAGGTGTTCTCTCCCTGTGACAGGTGATGGTACCCCATCCATCCAGCTGTTTCAGGCAAAACCAGGATTCACTGGAGTCCTCTCTTTCACAATCCACTTCTACCCCACTAGGAGCCATGTCACTTGGCACAATCACTAAAACATTTTGAGTCTTTCTGCTCTTGCCAGTCTCCCCACTACAATTCCAGTCTAAGCCTTCAGACCTCTCACCCGAACTCCTTCTTAGTGTCCGCATCTAATTCCAGCCCCCAAAGTGTCATATTTTAATAGAAACAGTGGTAGAAACTATTCTTACATACTTGGTGTGGTTATATAAACTTGACGTGTTAAACTTTAATTAAATATTCCTACACATTATTAAGTAAGTGGATACATGGGGCAGACTTTGAAATAATACAAAAGTGAAATAAGTTGTCACTGTCAAATCACCACAATAATCATTAGTACATCCCTTTCTCTTCCCTCTCCAGATGAATTTAAATATGCACTTGAAAGACAACCACTTTTTTTCTAATCATACAGAATTTATTGATAACTACTTTTAAAATTGCCTTGAAGATTAGGTTTATTCAATACCATCATGCACTCATAAGGCATACCAACATCAGCAAAATGTTCTTGGTTCCTGTTCCTAACGGTGCAGTTGGTTATGTGTGTTGTTTGAAAATGCATACATGGCAGGCCTTTACCTTGAATAGGTGATTCAGGTGATTCATGTTAACAGTGCAGCAGGATTACAGAGAAGCTTCTAACACTTGCTATGAAGACACAGCAAACAGGTATTTCTACCCACACGCCCTGGAGAGGTCTGGATGCTCCGCTGGGAAAGACAGCAGCCACCAAGCAGGATTACTAAAGTACTCTAGTGAATGTGAACGATGTGTGAGGGAATATGCTGAATTGCTATCAGCAAAGAATGATTATGACAGCAGCCAGTTTCTTCTGGTGATTGGGGGTTATAGCTTAGTACTGAGGTATGTGCGAGGCCTGTGCGAGGCCTTGACTTCACACCAAACAAACAAACCTAGACCTTTCTGTATTTCCTTTACCTTCTAAATATACTTCGCTAGTGAGTCAGAGTTGATTTTGAGAGAGAAGTTGTGGATCTAACAGCGTTTTCCTAAATGTATCCCTAGCTAGTTGCTAATCACAGACTGGCTTTCTCTAACATTCTAAACACTCCTGAGCTATTAATTTCTGTTAATATTCCCTATCTAGCTGCTGTGTATAAGAGTTCACTGGGGAGCTTTTAAAATGCAGATGCTCAAGCTCATCTCCAAAAGCCCTAGCATGGACCTGGACATAGATATTCTTTAAGAGGCCATACAGGACAAGGAAATGCTCATTAAAGTTGGAAACTGGCCAGGTGTGGTGGCGAACACCTATAATCCCAGCAGTCAGAAGCTGAAGCAGTAGGATCCTGCTGTTTGAGCCCAGCCAGTCTGGGCCTTATATTGAGACTGTCTCAAAAAAAAAAAAAAAAAAAAAAGTCATTTTCTCTTTGCTACTAGTGACTTGTAGGGAGTGAGTCTGGAGAAATTTATAAGTAACTTTTTTAAAGCTAAGTCAATGTAAGTATTTCTGATGATACCACTTTGTCTTTCCATTATATTGTAACTGGTTGAAAAGAAATATGATATTATTATAATTCCCCTAGAGGAGCCTAGCTTCTTGACTTAACAAATTATCACTTTATCCTCATTTAGTGCTTGGCACTTACACTTGTAAAATTTGATGGGAATTTGTAACATTTCCATGTTGGAGAAGAATACTTACCCTTAGCTCGGTTGTTGTCTCTAGCTGATAACACTGTTACAGAAATCACTTCATACCAGCCCTTTTTAATTCCTAAGGCATTTCTAAAGAAAAAATGACTAATATATCTGAAATGGAAGGGTTTTCCCTTTGTTTATTGCTGGTTTTCTGAGTAATATTTAACACATTACAAAAGTTTATTTGAATTAAATGAATTTAGATTTTTATACACTGCTAAGTGCTTTAGCCTCAGAATTTATCTTGCAAAGCTTCATGAAATAGTATTATTCAACATTAAATCTTAGTGTTTGTCATTGCCCTTTCAAAAAGATCCAGTCTGTATAGGTGGATTTGTCATTAGAGATCCAAACATTCCTTAAGTGTGTGTTTGAAACAAGTGGGAGGCATCAGGTGGACATCTCAGAGGCTGTAGCATAGAGTCCTTCATACCTGTAGCCTCCATCATGTAAGAGTGTGCATGCGCATCCTTATATGTATATATACATTAGGAAATAGCATTGAGTCTCTGTTTATGGTTGCTGACATCCTACCATATTTAGCTTAGTAAATAAAGTTTATGGAAAGCCATTGATTTAGACTGGCCTCCTACACTTGACTGCAATATGGAGTCACTCGTGCTTAGGTTTTTATGTCACTAATACCTAAGCTGTTTATTTGTAAGATCTGCCCTCCCCCTTCCCCAACCAAGAGAGAGATGGCAGTCAAATTCCCAAACAGGCCAGTTTTTCCAGAAAAAAAAAAAAGCACCCAGATTTGCAGCACTCAGTTAAAGGAGCCCAGCCAATCCTCTATGCTGCCAGAAAAAGGAAATCTCTGTGTTAACCCATGCATGAATAATAACCCAAATCCAGCCAATGCTATTTGCCCCATATTGTTTTCTCATTCCTGCTTAAGTGGCTTTACAAACCCCAGCTGTTCTGCCGTGTCCCCATAGCTCCTGTCTGTTTGCGCTAGATGCTGCATAGTTCATGAGTCACCAATAAAAGCCAATTAAATCTTTAAAAATTAATTTGTTGACATTTTGTTCTTCAATAAGCTATACAATAATTCCATAAGCACCCCATTGATATTAGAATTCTTAAGAGTCTATAAGCTTTACAGTACTTCATATGGCCATCAAACAGCTATGCTGTTTCAGAAATATGATACCTTCAGAATCTGATACAGTAGCATACACTAAGCAGGTAATTTTTAATTCTTGTTTATAACTGGTCCTTCATTCTGGAGGCTTATTTAGGGATAGACAAAAGTAATATGATAAGCTTAGTGGACCTAGCAAGGTAAGGATTTTGAATCAATTGACTCAAAGAGATTTGGAATAGTCGATGAGCCTTTGGGGAGGCTGTTGAACATTAAGGAACTGGGAATTGTCTTCCTGGCCAAGAGCCTCCTAGAATAAGTTATGTTGACCAGGCAGATGGAACAGGATGCCTTGTTAATGTGCACAGTAAGCTGTGTGATGATTTCTAATCTCCTCGGTTGGCATCTTAATTCTGTCACTAGCTTTGTCATCTTGGGCACCGCAGCCATCTTTTCTGTGAATTAATTTCCTTATCTGTGACATATCCATCCCTAACAGTAACTTTCCATTTACTTGTGAGTTAATATATTCAGGGAACTTTGGACAGTGGCTGACACCTTTCTCCTTATCCTACTCTACCTACAGCTTCACAGAATTTATGAGAAATAAAGGCCTTAGATGGCCATTTGATTTTATTAATGGGCACATGTGCAGGTGACATTTTCAGTGTGTGTTGATTACACATATACACTGGAGTCTGGCTGGATACTTGGTTCATTGACATCTGTGTGTCTTCAGGTACTCACAGCCTCTGCATGAAGAAATAGCCCTGCATAAGCATCTGAAGCACAAAAACATTGTCCAGTATCTGGGCTCTTTCAGTGAGAACGGCTTCATTAAAATCTTCATGGAGCAAGTTCCAGGGGGTAAGAGATACTTTTCTTACTTTCAAAAATGTCGATTTCTAAGCCCTGGAAGAAGAGCTAAATTAAATGGGATTTGCTAGAGCATAGGTCTTAATTTCCTTAATTTGTCTATGCGGAAAGAAAAGTTAGGTGACGTTACCTTGACGCTTGTTAGGAGAAAGTAAAATTTGATATCATTTTAGTATCAATCATCATGATTTGGATTAAGGTTAGCAATCAATCATCCTTTCACTTAGACTGTATTGATAGTGACCATCTTCAAAATAGGGGTATTTTCACATTCATGTTTGAACCCAGGTAATTAGTACTGGGTTACTGAGAAGAACCAATGAGTGTTGGCTTAATGTAGTGTCACCTTATTAATATGCTTCAAAGAGCTCATGTGAGTGAGATTTGATCCACCGTTTCTTTTACTCTACAGGAAGTCTTTCTGCTCTGCTTCGTTCCAAATGGGGCCCATTGAAAGACAATGAGCAGACAATTGGCTTTTATACAAAGCAAATACTGGAGGGATTAAAATACCTCCATGACAATCAGATAGTTCACCGGGATATAAAGGTAGGATGCACCAGGATTCATCCTCATGGAGTCCTTTGTCTTATAAGTGTTAATTTTGAGAGGTGAATAAGTCCTAGAAATAGTGGAACTGTCAGATGTTGAGCCACTCCGAATTAGTTATTATGTTCATATTTTATGTGTTCTATGCAAGGAAGAACCTCCTAAACCATATTAAGTCCAACAGATTTTGCTCCCACTCTGTGGTGTTTCCTAAGAGTGCTGTGGGGTAGCGTGCACTACTATAAAGCTAACCAGGACGTGGTCTCTTTTTCTAAGGAGCTGACAGGCCAGTTAGTATTTGTATCCTTGCCCATAATAGCTACTTATAAATATGTATTTAATAAACAGATGAATGCATAGGAGAAAAATAAGCATCCCTGTTTCTTACAAGTATCACATATTTATACATTGGACCAAAATTATAACTTGTACAAATTTCTCAAAGAAAAACATTAGCTTCTGTTTAGAAATAAAATTGAAAACTAACAAACTTTTTGACAAAGCCTGGATTATTTAAAGTACATTCATTTGGTAACCAAACAGGGTAAACTCATTCTTGATGAGCACAAAGTCAAAGAACACAACCAGGAGGTAAAGAGTTTTATCTTTTATAAAACTGGGGGGAATGTTATTGCTTAGAGCAAGCAAGAAACGGTTTATTACTTGTAGTAAAGGGATGCCACCCCTGAAAAAGAAGAGCAAGAAGTATTTTCTAGGAGAGCCTGTCCATCTATACTCATACTGTGAAATACCCGGAGAGGCAAGCACATACCTGAGCATGCTTGATGTAAGGTACACACACATTCAGTTTAAAGTCAGAGATCAGATGTTTACAGGTAAAAGAGAGCAGACTCAGTTTGTCATAATGTACATGTTCAAAAGGAAACATGGCAAATGTAACACGGGTAGACAGAGAGTTTAGTGTTACAATGAGCAAAGTTTATTCCAGTTGCCTAAAAGAATGAGTCAAAGAGACTGTGTGTGACCCTTGGCTGGTTCTTCCTAAGTATCTTCAGGAGTTGTAGCTGAAACAGAAAGGACAGCTTTGAAGGTGTTAACCTTCTTTTAAAGGAACTGATGCTTTCTCCCTCGTAGGTGTAAGAGTTTATTCCTAAAGATAACTGCCTTACTTAGTGGCTTAAAACCTTGAGGTTAAATCAAAGAAAATGATAAAATGACCTTTTATCTCTGATATCTCTAAATAGGCCAAGGAAAGTAAGAAAACAACATAGAAAAGAAAATAAAGTAACTGGGAAATTTACTAAATGAATGATTTATGTAGGTATTGGACACAGGTCGCCAGGGCTATGTGTAACTGCACTGAGCTTTCCTCTTGGAACCTTGTGATCTGAGTAGCGATTTCTGAATAATTGATAATATATAAACAAAAAATTCTATGAAGAATTCTGTATTGAAAAGAAAAGAATTCTCTGTTGATATGAACTATTAACACAGAATTAAGAACAACGAATGTCATTATTCTTGTTCTAAGGCCTTTTTTTTTTTTTAAACTGGACTTAACAAGTCAACCACAAACAGCATCTGTAGGAAGATAACATTTTGACTGATGTATTCTGTCCCTAGGGTGACAATGTATTGATTAATACCTACAGCGGTGTTCTCAAGATCTCTGACTTCGGGACATCAAAGAGGCTTGCTGGCATAAACCCATGTACTGAAACTTTTACTGGTATGTTTGTATAGTAATGATACAAATCTAATATAATTAAAGAAGTAATTGCTAAGTGTGAGCATGAGGTGAGAGATAAACTTGAGTCAGTGTTCTCACACATGTCAGTGCTGGAGTTGCTTAATGCTCTCTGAAAAACGTTCTACAGGGTTTGATCTGCCTTCTTGTCTTGGATTTATGTGATTTGCTAAGTCTCCTGCTTAACGCCACTGAAGATTACTTTTAGCTCTCAACTTCTTTTTGTTTCTCGCCCTTTTTTTCCTCCTGGCTGGCTTCTAAGACTTCTTTTTTAAAAAATTATTTATTTAATAACCACATACTTAGAAGAAGCATTTCATTACAACAGCATTGATATCTTCAACAACAATTTCCAGAGCTAAGATGCATCTCTTTCAAAATTGGCTATAATTTTCAGGTTTACAGTGTTGAATGAATAGTTATACACTATTGTACTCAGTATAAACCCTATAAAACATAAAACTAAATAAGGTTTTAACATTTAAAAAAGATCTACATTTCATTATTAAAAGATAGTTTCATACAGAAAAATTCATTTTTAATGCAATTGACATTAAGATGTTTGCACATGCATTTCTAATCTCTATATATCTGATTATTACTAGTCACATTTTGTTACTTTCTGAGATCCTTGGCACCTGAGCATGGATATAAAGTTATCAGGTAGATTTATTTCAATGGTAATGTTTTTCACACCTACTAATTAACATGAAGAAACTTTTTATGCTTCTTCCTCAAAAAACTTTTTATTTATTGATTTTTGTGTGTATTTCATAGAGAACATCCCAAACAATCTTACTCATCTTTATACCCACATCCCAAATGGCACCCTCCCATATACCACCCCCACTGGAGCTCATATACTGTCATCCCTGTTACTGTCCACTGTGTTATCAGTGCCCCCAGCCGTTCCCCAGTGCTAGTCCATCCGCTGAGTCTAGTCAGCCTATCTAGAGATCCTTGTTTTAGGAAGATCATCTCTTCGTCAACTAGCAGCAATCAGGTGCCAACATTCTTTTAGATAAGATTGGGGTCTGCTGTTCATTTTCCCAGTTCTATGCTGGGTTACTGTCTGGGAGCATACATTTTTAAAAATTTGTTGATTTTGTGTGTGTATATGTGTATATCACACAGAACATCCCAAACCATCTTATTCAACTATACACGCACTTCCCAGATGGTACCCTCCCATAGCCTGCCTCCCCCCACTAGAGCCCTTATACTCTGATATCCATGCTACTGTCTGCTGTGTTTTTCTAAGACTTCTTTTTAAAAACATTTCCTAGCCCAACCTCTCTGATTCTTAGTCATACCCAAATCACTTCCTATTTGGGTTCTGAATTCCCTCTTTCCTAGTCTATTTTCTCCCTGGAATCAATTTCCCTACTCCACAGTATAAATAACCGTAAGATTTCAATTCAGAAAGGGGAAGTGACTCATCTACTCAGAAAGGGGTTGGAGAGAAAGCTTTCCTGAGAAATTAGGCAAGGCAGTGTCTGAGATGCCTCTAGTGTAAAATCTTGAGAGGGCAGAGACAGTGATTTCCAAAAAGGTGAAGGCAGCCAAGAGGAAACCAAGAGATGAAGCCAAGAGATGAATGACTGCTCATCAGATACAGGGAGCGAGGGAGGCATCTGGGCCTGCAAACCTGGTATCTGGTCCATGCCCTTATCACTTCATTATTCTGATTCTTAGGGAAGAGAGAGAGAGAGAGAGAGGGAGAAGGAGAGGGGAGAGGGGAGAGAGAGGAGAGAAGAGAGAGAGAGAAATTTCTTAGGGAAAAAGGGACAGCAACCAATCTTTGGCTTAATGGTTTGGTTTGTGAATCCTCTGTGTGGAAGTGCCTCCGTTTTGCAGTAAGGGAATTGACTGAGAGAAAAGAGATGTCTTCAGTGCTCGTGGTAATCTGTGCATGATGGGACTCAGGCCTTCAGTCTTGTCATTCATCTTTAGACTTCAATCCACCTCCCTCTCCACCTTGCCCCACTGCTGACAGCCTGAGAGGCAGGGAAGGAGAGAAGTTCCCTGTCTTCTCCTCAGATTCTTCCCACAAGAAGGCAGTGGGTATTTCAGGCACAGAATTACTCATATTTACGGAGTGTCTTTTTAAAAATAAATTCAACCCTACTAGTAACTCTCAATGTCTTCATTTCTTTCCTCATACTCTCTCAATTTGGCAAGAGATGTTTTAGATGCTGCCAAGATTCAGTAACTTCTGAGAAGATAATCCCTACTTTCACACACTTATTTTGGGGCAGGATGTTGATTTAATAGTGTCTGCTAATCTTGAAAACTTCTTTTTAAACCCCAGAGGTATTGTAGGAAAGGAGTCTTCCTTGGGCTCCTTGCCTGTAACTGAAGGTGACACATGTGGCTAATGAGCTCAGATCTCCCTCCGGTGCTGAGCTGGGGGCCATGAGATTCAGGCCTTGTTCCTCGCCACGTGCTAAGCCTGCAGCACTAACTTGGTGCTCTAAGGATCAAGGTGCTTCATCACCTCTGGTGAATGCAGCTGAAAGACCTTGAAATGTTTCACCTCTTGTTGATTTTGGTGAGGGGAAGGCAGGGGTGGCCATCATTTACAGAGCGCTTACGGTATACTTTGCTCTGTGCTTAGTGATTTATACATACTGAAATTTGTACGTCAGCCCTAAACATTAGGCATCATTATCCTAGTTTATGGTGAGAAAATTAAGGTTCAAAGAGTTTAAATAACTTGCCCAAGGTCACAGAGCTGGTTAGTAATACATCTAAGGTTTGAACTAGACTTAACATGCAAAATGGAATTATCATCTCCCCAAACCTGTTCCACCCACACGCTTCCCTGTCTTCCTTGGGAGCCACTCTAGACTTAGAGTTCTCACTGGCACCTTTTCTCACACTCCAGTCCTGTCATCAAGGAAACCTGTCTGTTCTAGCTTCTAAATGTGTCCCAGAGTGGGTCTGTCCTCACCCTGCCCCACTGCTACAGCTTCCACTCATGACTGCCTCACCTCAGCATTCTCCTCTTCTCCACTTCCACGTTTGTCCCCTCCTGTCTGTCCTAAACACTGTAGCCAAGTGTTCAGACCTTTTGAAAACATCAGTCTGGGCCCTCAGTGGCTGTTGTTCAGAGTAAACAAAGCCAAAGCTCTTAACACTGGACAAGGCTTGACTTGATGTTCAGACCCTACTTCATCCCTTCTCTTCTTGCATACTCCACACCGCACCAGAAGCACATACCTGCCTGCATTTCTTCATGGCACTAGCCAAGGTCCCACTGCAGGGCCTTTGCACATGTGCTGTTTCTGCAGGTAACACTTTTCAAAGCTACCTGCTGCATTCAATTCTTAACTCAGATATCACCTCTTCAACAGTGAGACATACCATGAGCATTTTATTTACCACGGCAGCCTCCCTGGCCCTCCTGGTTCCCTTTGTCCTGCCTTTAAAACAAATTAATCAAAACATGTTACTTTCTACCATACTGTTTACTTATTATTACACTATAGTTTATTATCTGTCTTCTACAAAATGGAAGCAGCTCTATAACACCAGCAATCTCTCTTTTTTAAGAAAAAGAATTATTTTTTTAAATTATGTATGTATGCATGTGGGTCTGTATAGATGAGTGTAAGGTGCCTGTGAAGTCTACTGGATCTCCTGGACCTGGAATAACAGGTGGTTGTGAGCTGCCCAACATGGGTGCTGGGAACCAAACTCAGGTCTTCTGAGCCATCTCTCCAATCCCCTAGCATTTCTCTTTACTGCTGTATTTTCTGTTCCTACAGTAGTGCCTGGTGGATAGCAGGCCTCTAGTGTAAAGCTATTGAATGAATGGGGTATGATTTCAAAGATTACACTGTTACCCACATCTCTGAACAGTAGCAAAGGAATACTGAAATCTCTATTTAACAGCCATTTAAATGGGGGGAGGGTACAGATATGTAAATCTTAGAGTTAATACTCTTATTTGTTTTCCATAGGTTGGTGTTCTGATTGGTTTACATTTTCATCACCCATTTCTGTAAAGCTCTTTATATAAAATATAGGGGTGGGGTGTAGCTCGGTGGTAGAGGATGTGTATGTATGTGAGGCCCTAGGTTCAATCTCAGCACCACCACCATACACACAAAAAAAGTTACGTGTGGAATGAAGAGAGAATAGGAATACATGTCTAAATCTGCTTTTTTAGTCTTTATTCTTTTTAAAAAAGTATTTATTATTTTTAATTATGCTTATGTATGCAGGTCTGTGTGTGCGTATGTGCATATGTATGCTGGTGTGCACAGAGGCATGGATCCCCTGGAGCTAGAGTTACAGGTGGTTATGAACCACCCAGTGTGGATGCTAGGAACTGAACTAAGGTCTTCTACAAGAGCAGTATGTGCTCTTAACTCCTGAGCTATTGCTCCAGCCCCTCAGCCCTTATTCTTTGATGGACATATACATAATTGGCAAATAGTGCTCTTTAGAATATTATTTGATGGATATAGAAAAATTTATTATTGATATCTCTTGGATTGTATAATTTTTACTATTATTTTGATCATTTGATCAATTCAATATTTTTTTATCATTTGTACTCAAGTTTAGTATAACTTAAATTCTTTAACTAATTCTGTTTTAGTCTCAGAGAAAAATAGGAATGCCAAGCTTCAACGTGTGTTTTTTAAAAGTTATCCCTTTGGGGAAAGCTTCAAGTGAAAAGAAACCATATCAATTTTGTATTAAGTGTACTAAGACTTTTGGGGTGCATGGTTACCCTTTCCTTGGTCAGGGGAAAGGAGTTCTTCCAGTACTTTTGCTACTTTAAGCTAAGAGCAAACTTGTGCAGTTGTATGTGACATCCAGAAACCACTACCATATGGTGGGGAATCTGGAGGAGAAAGTCTTACAAGGTGGCAATGCTCAGAAAAACAGCATACCTTTATTTTATGAACAGTAGTCAGTCCAGCCCATGATAGAGGGTTTCATAGGAAAAGTTGGGAGAAACTTTACGTACAGTTTTCACCTATAAATCTCATGTATTTATCAAAATGTCTATCACTTTTGTTATGAATCAGAAAATACCAAAATGGCTCTTTGGGCAAACTCCTCAAGATTCAAAGTAATTCAACTTGGCAGCTTCAGTGGTATGTTAGTAACATTTTTGTTGCTGTAATAAAACACCATGACCAAGGCAACTTATGGAATGAAGAGTTTATTTAGCTTACAGTTTTCGGAGGAATAAGAATCCATCGTGGCAGGGAAGCGTGGCTGCAGAAATGGTGGGAACAGAAAGCTGAGCACTGACATCTTCTAGTAGACACAGGAAACAAAGAGCAAAAACTGGAAATGGGAGGTGGCTATGAACTCTCAAAGCCCGCCCCTAGAGATGTGCTTTCTCCAGCAAGGAGCATCCTAGGGATTCTATGACCTTCCCAAAAGAGTGTCACCAACTGACCAAGTGTTCAAATACTTGAGCCTATGGGGGATGCCTCATTCGAACCACCACAGATGGGTTCCTGTGCACTGGTCATATTATGTTTAAGAGTAAGGATGTCAGAAGTTGAGGATAGGGAAATAGTATGTTTCTGGCCACTCTCCCAACCATCCCTGTACTAGGCTAGAACTACAATCAAGGGCCCTTGCTCTCCCTCATCAAGTGCACTTCCTACCATGCCACATCTTTCAGCTTGAAGGTTCATGATCTGCCTTTGATCTGTTAAATCTACTCTGTAGATCCTAGATGTACATCAGGAATTTTATATATCTGATAGACAGAAGCAACTACAACCAGAAATCATTTGAATTGTTTTTCATCACTGCTTTCAGAATCTTTGTGCTGTCATTATTAAAAATGACTTATTTTTTCTAAGGTTTTTTTTTTTTTTTCCTGTACTAGGGCTTCACACAAGCTAGGCAAGCACAATCCCACTGAGCCATATACCCATCCCTAGGTTTTTTTTTTTAACCTTGACACAGAAAAAAAATGTATAACTAATGGGGTACCCGTGGTTATATATGATTTTGATACATGTATACATTACTTAGTGTTAAGATGAGGGTAAGCAGGTGTGCCAGCTCAAACATCCATCATTTCTTTGTACTGGAAACATCAAGTTCCCCTTGTCTAGATTTTTGTAAACTTGGAAACATACAGCATATTATTGCTACCCACTGCCACTTTACTATGGGTAGAACATCAGTACTTATTTCTTCTATCTGATTATAACTTAGTACCGGTTGATCAACCTTTCCCCATCCCTCTGTTCTCCCTAGTTCTTCAGCTTCTAGTAACCATGGGTCTCAACTTTTATGACACCAGTCTTTTCAGATTCCCCATATGAGGGAGATCAGGTGGGATTTGTCTTCGTTCCTGGCTTATTTCACTTACCATAATGTTCTCCAAAAGGAAAACAGATAAGCCAAGTGCTCAATTCAAGAATTGGGAAATATAACTCTAAAGAAATGAATGAATGAGCTAGATCTTGCTTGAAAAAAATTACAAGTGCACATAATGAGAGTCTATATAGTGGAAGAACTGAATACAGAAAATAGGTGTTGATGTGTTCTCTGTTATTCTCAAAGACTAATTATCTCTAAGAATTCTAATGGAGCAATACCTCAACTGTACTCCATTTTGGGGGGTCTTTTTGAGACAAGGTCTCCCTGTAGCCTCAGCAGGTCTGTAGCTCCCTATGTAGACCAAGCTAGCCTTGAACTCCCAGAGATCCACCTGCCTCTGCCTCCCAAGTGCTGGGATTAAAGGCATGTGCCACCACGCCTGGCTATAAATATTTCTATTTCTACTTTTATTAACAGCAGAGAAAACAGAATCTCAAAGAAGATGAAGTATTAAGATCTGAATAAATTTTTTTTTAATTTGGTCTTTTTGAGACAGGGTCTCCCTGTAGCCCGAGCTGTCCTGGAACTCACTATGTAGACCAGGCTGGCCTTGAACTCACAGAGATCCTCCTGCCTCTGGCTCCTGAGTGCTAGGACTACATGCGTGCACCACCTCGCTCGGCTACCTGAATAATATTTTTAAATTATGTTATTCGTGTAGAAAAATTGAAATGGTCATTAGATATCCACATATTTTTTTTTTCCTTTCTAAAGTGGAAATGTTTTTTAATTATTTCCAGGTACCCTTCAGTACATGGCACCAGAAATAATTGATAAAGGACCACGAGGCTATGGAAAGGCTGCAGACATTTGGTCTTTGGGCTGCACAATCATCGAAATGGCCACAGGGAAACCACCATTTTATGAACTAGGAGAGCCACAAGCAGCCATGTTCAAGGTCACTTGTCAAACCAACAACCAAAGGGAATAAAGATTTTCATAGAGAATGAATGTTTCGTGCATGTGCATGTGCAAATGCCAGGGTTGTTTTCTTGGGAAAGAGTCTAAGAATACACATGCTTAGACACAATTCAGATTCCAGGAGGTTCACTATCCCCAGAGGCCTCTGCCTCAGCCCGAGTTGTCTCAGTTCTAAAGTGAGATTCAGTGTAACTTCTTTGATCCACTTTTTATCAGCACAGTATAAATGACACACAATGCTAGAAAAGATGACTTAGACTCTGTGATAAATAGTGTTAATATTTTCCATATAGGAGGATATAAGAACATGCGGGGGGATGCTGGGAATGTGTCTCAGTGGTAGAGCACTTTGCTAGCATTCATGAGGCCCTGGGTTCAACACCTAGCACCTCAAAGAATGAAAGAAAAAAACATTTTAAATCCATTTCAAAATTAAATCAAAGCAATGTTTTCCTTATTTCTCCTACCACAAGTGTTTGAAGACTTCATAAAGGGTATGATTACCAAAGTCAACTTTATTTACATATGTTTGTTCTTTCAGTCTGTTTTTTCACTCATAAGTAACTCTGGAGAGTGAGAAGCCCCCTCCTCTTTGCCCCTACATCCTGGTGTAAAGGGTATGGAAATGGGCCTGAGGACTGGACATGAGTCTCTGCTGTCCTCCTTTCCAAGGTTACTCATTACCCAGGAAGAGAAACTCCAGCCTTGTCCTCTGTGCACAGAGGACTCTGAGCTCCATTGTTACTCCCTTCCTCCCCCATGCTCAGCTCTTGCTCCTTCTGCATATGGCTTCTTGCAAGGGGCCCTGTGTTACTTACACTCCTTCCGCTTTCGTACACAGTGTGACCTATTTTACCCTTGAAGACAAGCTGATATGAAAATAAGGAAATGTGGGGCTGGAGAGATGGCTCAGCGGTTAAGACCACTGACTGTTCTTGCAGAGGACCTGGGTTTGATTCCCAGCTCCCACATGGCAACTACGAACTGTCCTTAACCCCAGTTCCAGGGGAATCCATTGCCCTCTTCTGACCTCCATGGCATTGCACAACACTGGTGCACTCACATATATGCAGGCAATACACTCATACACATAAATAAAAATAATAAAATATTTTTTTAAAATTTAAAAAGAAAAAAATAAAAGAAAATAAGGAATGTATTGCAAGGCTCCAAGTTCCATCCCTAGCACTGAGGAGAAAAATCCTGCAATGTCCCCAAACCTGGACGAGCTAAGAAAGGAGTTTTTCTTAACGTGAAGAGCTGTCTTTCTCTTCTCTTCTCAGCTCATCTCTCAACTTTCTGCCTGTCTCTAGAGCATTACTAGAGCTGCTTTATTACCCAGCGTGTAGTGGTTCTTATGTAACAACATGATGTGCTGCTCGTAGGCCAGCCACAGGTACTCATGCTAAGTGGTACTATCTCAGAGAGACCAGATCATGTAGGGAATCATGTAGTGTCTGAAACTGATTGACAGTGTTCAGATATAGGACCTAAGATGGTCAGGATACTTGAGATTTTGGACAAATGACTTAACCTCCGTATACCTTAGTTTCCTTAGGTACAAAATGGAGATAAAAACAATGTATTATAGGATTTTTTAAGGAATATGATTTTTTTAAGGAATATGGCTTTTTTAAGGAATATAGCTTTAATAAGTATATTATTGTTTATAAGAACATATTTATATATAACAAAATGTTTTTAATTTTTATTATTTTGGTGCGTGTGTGTATGTGTGCACACATGTGCATGCATACAAGCCAGAGGACAACTTTCAGGAGTCTGTGCTCTCCTTTTACCAGGGGCTCCAGGGATCTCTTTCAGGTTGACAGGCTTGATAACAAGCACTTTTACCCAGTGAGTCATCTCTCTGGCCCCATTAAAAATTTTTTAGAGGACTGAAGAGATGGCTCAGCACTTAAGAGGACTGACTGTTGTTGCAGAGGACCCAGGTGTGATTTCCAGCACCTACACGGTGGCTAACAACCATTCGTAACTCCAGATCCAGGGGATCCAATGCCCCTCTTCTGGTTTTCGTGGGCATTGCATGACATGGGTACAATACATACATGCAAGCAAAGCACTTATACACATAAAATTGAGATAAATACTCTTTTAATATTTTAGAATAACAACAGTAGGATGTAAACTCCAATTATGATATAAAGAATATTTTAATTTTAAAGCACTTTTAAATATTTCTTGATGGAGGTGATTTAAGATGGGAAACACAAATTGTGCAGTAAGGAAAAAAAACGTGGATTTAACCCAAACAAATCAGCGTTCAAAACCAAAATCTACCCTTTCTTAGCTATACAACCTCATCCCTCCAGTGCCTTACTTTCTTCATTAGTGTAAGAGGGACAATATTTAATCCGCTGAGTTGTCGAGAGGATTCAGTGAGATTCACAAATGGAAAAATCCCAGCAAAATGTCTGAAACATACCTATTCTGAGAAACCCAGAGGTCTCATCTTTTGAAAAATAACCTCTGGCAAGATTTTATTAAAGAAAAACTTTTGGGGTTTACTTTTCACCAGTCTGTTCTGGCATGCTTCCAATAATATCTGAATCACCTGCATCAATGATAGCCAGTGTGCAGACTCCGTAGTTTTTCCACATGCTGTACCCAAATCAATATTATTGCCATTTGAGTGATGGATACCAGTTTTGACCAACATGACAGAGTATTCTAGTTCAGGTTTCCTCAAAGCTGGCAGTTGATGGCAGGAATGACCAATTTGGCTTTGCCCAGTTTGGTCATCTTCAGAGTCTGCTTGCCCTCCAGCACAAACCTTCCACTTTTCTTCTTTTTTAAAAAAATAATTTATTGAGAATTTCATACAGGCATATAAGGTGTTTTGATCAAATCCATGCCCACTCCCTTCCCTTCAACTCCTCCCATATCTCCCCATCACTTTTTTTCTGAAAATTTCATGTACTCTTTCTTCTTTTTTTTTTTAATGGGACTTTTTGCTACTCTAACATTACCCCCTCTGAAGAGGTAGTCCTAAAATATTTTAGGGATTAGATAAAAGCTTCCAAATACTTTCAATATTTTGACCTTTGGAATGGAATATGTTGCTAAGAGACCCAAGGACATTTGGACTCTTAGACAAGAAGCTGACTACTTTTCTTTGGGGTCTTTTTACACTAACTTCCTAACCAATTCCTACCTCCTATTCTTATCACACCATCCTCTGAAGAGGTTACCCAGCTTGCAGATAGGGAATCCGGATGCAGACCACTCTGGCTTCTTCCATGCTGAACAGGGGTGCAGGGCAAGGAAATTGGGGTACCCCTCCAGTGGGTCTATCTAAAAGACTCCCAAGTTGCATAACTCTTATCTGTAGGGGGAAAAGAAAGCCCTTGACTAGTGAATAGGAGATGTGAAGAAGTAAAGGCAAGAGTAATAAGCATTACAAGTTCCAGATAGGGAACTAGAAAAAAGTCAGAACAGGGCAAATTTCAAATGTTCACATGAGAGTCCATCAGGAATTTTCTTGACGAGAGTTTCCAAAAGCATCCCTCTATTGAGTTCCTTCTCATTTAAAAAAAAAAAACAAAAAAACAGCACAAACCTTCCACTTTTCTTCTTTTTTAAAAAAATAATTTATTGAGAATTTCATACAGGCATATAAGGTGTTTTGGTGTTTTGAACAAATCCATGCCCACTCCCTCCCCTCCAACTCCTCCCGTATTTCCCATCACTTTTTTTCTGATAACTTCATGTATCAATGTCAGTTCCCTCTCAAAGGCTTCTAGACAGGGGGAAAAACAAATTTATCCATCATTTTAGAACAATTATGGGTTGTCTCCCTTAGCTACAGGTGGGCACTACAGTATTGGAGACCAAGATTTGAAGTCTTACATCTGAGCAGAACTTTCTGATTCAGAACAAAATCATCAATGAGAGATAATTGTTTAAAAACTTTTTATATGGACTTAGGCCTAATGTCTGAGAAGTATAATCCCTTGAACTCTTAAAGAAATATACTGATCACTTTACTCTTTGGTTATACTTTCCTTTGGGTGTTTAAGACATACAGTTGGCCCAACTAAATCAATTAATATTTATACTTAAGGTCATTTGAGGATCTGTTCCTCAGGGGTCACATGGGCTTGGGAGGAGTCCTTGGATCCTTTCTTTTACCAGTTCCATCTATGTGAAGATAAGTCAAAGGTTCTGCTGGCTTCACTTGGAAGCATGAAGGAAATGTTTCTTCTGAGTAGACTGGACACTGGTTCAGGTCCATGTGGTGGGGATCTCCATGGTTTCCCTGAACAAGAGGACAGGTGACTCACCACAGTTACAGGACATTTTGAGAGATGTGCCATAGTCCCCTGGAACTTAGTTGACCTTGGAGGGCAAGGGGTAAAAACCGTCCTTTAAGTCCCTACTACCACGTTAGTATAGGCCTCAAAGTATGGCTGTTAAAGATCCAATAAGGTTAGTTCTGTCAGTCTGGTACTTGTAATTACCATGTGCTATGTAGATAAAGCTTGGGTAAAAAACCAAATGTTCTCAGATAAACCTTGACTAGATATTACTTTTGTTCCTTAAACTAATTGACTAAACTATGACCTTAGAAATTTTAAGATTATGTGTATATTATTTTTGTCTCATCCTTTATATATCATAAGAAACCTACACAAACCTTGATCACTTGCTTGGGCTTTCTCATTTTTTCTGTCTGTTTTGGAAAATATCTCCATTCCCATATCCTTTTAACATCTTTTACATTCTCATTTTCTTTTTGTAATAATTATGAGACATAATAACATTAACAAGTTTTCTATCTTTTGTGAGAATTCTTTTCCTGGGGATACTAAGCAAGGCTTATTCCCTTTTAAGGTTCTAGTGTCAAACCAATGACAAACCTTCCACTTTTCATAGCAAGCTAGAGCCTAGAATTGATTGACTCCACAGACTTTTTCATCTTCTTTGTGGCCACCATCTTCCTGCCTAAGGTGCAACTACAATCCCCAAACCAGAGCAGCCACCAAAATTCCCAGGGAGAGTGAGAAAGCCTAAAATGCTTTTTTTGAGTGCCAGAGTACTAATGTATTCCGGGGTTCTGAAGGACTGTCTCATTATTTTGCACTGTCTGTCTTAAGCCAGTTACTCTTCCTATGTAGTTGTTAAAGTTACAAAAGCACTCTGTAAGCTTCCTGTAATCTACAGAAAGCACATCCCAAACTTCCTGGGGAAAAGCCATGAGCAGCTGGCTGGGAATATAGCTCAGTGCCAGGATGCATAAAGCCTTGAGTTTGATCTCTAGCATGAGAAAGGAGAGGGAGGGAGGGAGGGAGGGAGGGGAGAGGGAGACAGAGATGGAGAGGGAGGAGAGGGAGAGGGAGATGAAGAGGGGAGGGAGAGAGGGCGGGAGAGGGAGAAGGAGAGGGAGTGAGGACCTGTAGTATATAATGAATGATCTCGTCACACTAGGTGATAAGCGATGCGTCCCAGGTGATGAGATGTTCACTCAGGGGACACATATTGCTTTTGTTTATGCCTCAGGTGGGGATGTTTAAGGTCCACCCTGAGATCCCAGAGTCCATGTCTGCTGAGGCCAAGGCATTTATATTGAAGTGTTTTGAACCAGACCCTGACAAGAGAGCCTGTGCTGATGACTTGCTTATTGATGAGTTCTTAAAAGTTTCCAGCAAAAAGAAAAAGACACAGCCCAAGCTTTCAGGTATGTGGTTGCATGAGGAGGATATGGGTCAACTATTAAATCCTAAGCTTTTAAGAGGAAAAATTTTCCAGAAGTAAACATCAGTTTACAATGTCACTGAGAATTGCTGCAAACAGCATAGTGTTCTCAGGCATTTGGGTCTGTGTCAGGGAGCCATGTTATCATTTGTTTCACCAATGTTGGGTGGGACTTCATGCATAACAATCTTCCATCACATAATTATAGTTAATGTATGAGCATTGAGTACACTCTAGTATTGGGAATCCTAAGGTTAAAGTGTGAAAGAGGTAAAAAGTAGTACTTTAGAGCTGAAACTCCAATTGCCACTAATGGGCTATGGTCTACAACAGAATTATTAAATTTCCAAGCCATTTAGATAATATGTTTTTTTGTGTGGGGGGAGTTGGTTATTTTGTTGGGGATTTTTGTTGTTATTTTTTTGGTGTTTTTTTTTTTTTTTTTTTTTTTTTTTTTTTTTTGTAGCCCTAGTTGGCCTGGAACTCACTATGTAGGTGTTTGGTGTTTTGTTTTTTTTTTTTTTTGGTTTTTTTTTTTTTTTTTTTTTTTGGTCTTTTTGAGACAGGGTCCCTGTAGCCCCAGCTGGCCTGGAACTTGCTATGTAGACCCAGGTTAGCCTCGAACTCACAGAGATCCTTATGCCTCTGCCTCCCAAGTGCTTGGGACTACAGATGTGTGCCAGCATGCCCGGCGTAATATGGTCTTTTAATTTGAATACTTGCTGCCCCTCAGAGAATATCTTTCTGAATAATTACAAAAAAGAAGGGATGAAAGGAGGGAGGGAAGAAGGGAAGGAAAGGAAAGGAAAGGAAGGAAGGAGAGAAGACATGCAGGTTGGTTGATTTCTAGCTTAATTAAAACAGTAGTATAAAATATCAGTGAATTTTTTTAGTAACTTCCATAAGTGATTTCAGAAAGAAAAAGCAAGTAAAGGATCTGTTTGCCCTTGGCATTTTGGATGTTTCTATTGGATAAAGATGATCAAATTGAATATTTGGAAAGGACATTGATCCCACTTCAAGCATTTACTTTTTTGTTGATTTCCCAGTTTAACAAACTCAACGTGTGATTATGTTGCTGTTTGCTTTTCTTCCCACAGCTCTCTCGACTGGATCAAATGGTGAGCTGACTTTTATCCTTGCCCAGTGTTCTAGTCTGCTTTCTGTTGCTGTGATAAAACGCTGACCAAAACCAACTCAAGTGTGGTGGGGGGAGGGTTTACTTCATCTTACACTTCCAAGGCATAGTCCATCTTTGACAGAAGTCACGAAGGAATTCAAAGCGGGAACCTGGAGGCAGGGACTGAAGACCATGAATGCTGCTTACTGGCTTGCTCCTTTGGCTTGCTTGCTCAGCTACCTTTCTTACACAGCCAGGAGTACCCACCCAGGGATAGCACTACCCACAGTGGGCTGGGCCCTCTTACATCAATTAACAGTCAAAAAAAATGTCCAACAGATATGCCCTTGGGTCAATCTGATAGAAGTTCCTTAGCTGAGGTTCCTCCTCCCCTGATGACTTAGTTTGTATCAAAACTAACTACTGAACTGAGGATTACCAAATCATGATAAACTCCACACCTTCCATAAAATACCTCCTCTCCCTTGCTTACAAGATAGGCTTCTGAGTACTAAGGACGCAGGCAGCTGTGGGTCTTGCTCTGCTCATTGCTTCAGAAACATGTCACCTTTCTCTTCTGTAATGGAGGCATAAGTGATTGTTCCCTAAATGCAAGGTGGTGACTGTGTTTGAAATCTTCAGTTTGGGCGAAGCCCATGCCTTCTGTTCTAGGAGCCAATTGGCCTCTTAATCACTTGTGAAAAGGTCAGTGTCATATACCTTCCCGGTATCTTAAGATATAGTACTGTAGTGGTCAAGAGTTGTGGTTTTGTTTTCTCAGGTCAGCTTTTGCAGGTCATAACCAGGAAATTCAATTTGCTCTCAAGCCAACTAAAGCATTTCAAAGAATAGTAAAAAAAGGAACATGGTTTTTGATTTCCCTAGGCTGGTTGAGGGGTTGATAGAAATGCAGGGTTGTTTAATGTCCATTGCATATGCATTCAAGGGCAGGGAGTAGGCAGGTCTTTGCAGGTTTCTCAGATACCTAAATACCAGTCAGCCTGGCATAGAAGCCCATTCACTGGGGTGTCCTGGGCACAGCCCCTCCAGTTTTCCTTCTGTAATTCTAAGAGTTGAGGATGGGCTCTAAGATGAAGAGGGATGGGCTTACTTTACTACCTCCCTTCTCCATAGACAGCCTAGGATATTGAAAGCAGCCTCTACATTTTCACAAGAGACCCTGAGGTACTTGTTGGCCTTCTGAGCAGCCTTACTTGTTCAGAGGTTGTTTTTGATCCCTCTGAGCCACTTGTTTTATATGTGACATGCAATAGCCTACTTGTTTTAGTTGTCACTCTGTGCTAGTAACAATACTTCCAAGATTTGATTCTGAGAATAAAATTGTATCCTGGAAGAGCCTTGGGGCTGTGCCCAGAAGCTTAGTCTGGGATTGTTTGGTCCCTTTCATGTGCTATGGTTTTCATTCACAGGAAACAGATTCCTGTCGCACATACATTAACTTCTGTCAACTCAGCTATGCTCACTTGGTGAGCTGCACTCTGCCCACAATTTTCTCAGTGAGCATGAACCTCAGATTGAGCATGAGACGTAAGGTTATCTCTGCTGGTCAACTGTGGCTCCCATGTGCCCTCTCCCTCTGTGCCCAGAGGAATTCAGCAGGAATTTGGATTCTGTGCTAGCTTTATGGTCTAACCCTAATTGAGGTATTATAGAATCTTAAGATTTTTATAGAGTCAGTAAATGGGTATTGGGTCAGAGCTGGGTTCCCTTGTCGACTAAATGGCCTTGAACATGACTTACTCTCCAACGGAACCCACTAGACACCTGCTCATGGGGTTGCGAAGATGAACTGAGCCCACATATGGCAAATACAAGCACTTTAAAGGCATTTACTATTTCTGCTACTCCTCTTGACTTGCTCAGGCCTCCTGTACTCAGGCCCCTGCCAGTAGCTTATTAAGAATTGTGACCCACAGTCTGCAGGTCTCCTACTCTTTCCCTCAGGGCCTTCCTGATTTTCCTGTCAGAACTTCCCCAGGCCTCCTATATTCTCTGAGCTCTCCCCCCATGAGAGATTATCCCCCCTTAATCAGTCCTCTCTTGAGACAAGGTTGTGGGCCCCGAAAGAAGGGCCAGCCCCTACTTTCCCAGTAGACTCTTGGCTGAAGGAATATAATTGCACAGCTGCCAAGGCTCACTAACACTTCCCTTAGTCTTAGTAACTAAACTCGTGCTAACCTAACTGGGAGCAAAAATCTCCTCTGATTGTTCTCTGGTCTTCCTGTGACCTTTCCTCTACTATCAATTAAAACTATGACCATGATTATAGTCTTCCAGATAATAGGCCACAAGACTCCTCTCTCCCTGGTGTCTTTTTTTTTTTAATACACTGTCATTGCAATTTTTTAAATTTTTTATTGTGCTTTCTAATTTCATACAACAATTCTTACTCAAATTCAGATCCCCTCTCCCATCCATTTCCCTATCCCTCCCACCAGACCTCATGTATTCCATCACATACGTTAAGTCCTATCCAGTCAAGCACTTGTACCTAGATGTCCTTTGGTGCAAATTCATCCACTGGAATCTAGTCATCCCATCTAGAGATCATAAGTAGGGCATACTCTTCCTCTCCCAGTAGCAATCAGTCTCCAGCTCATAGGCTATTTACCCATTTCTGTCTTGTGGTTGGGAGTTGGAAGATAAGATGGTGAGATGCTCCTTCCCCTGATGTCTTAGTCTATTTTCTGTTGCTATAACTGAGTATCATAGATTGGGAACTTTGAAAGAAAAGAGGTTAATTTAGCTCACAGTTCTGGAAGTCTCTCTGAGAAGAGTCCTGAGGATGTGCATGGTATCTCATGATGGCATGGAACAGGGAGGAAGGCCAGAGGGCATTTTATAATAGAGCAAGCAAAGCCCTCAAGACCCAGTCACCACTTAATGGTTCTACCTGTGCCTGCTTCTCAGCATCTTAAAATTTCAACATGTGTTTTGAATTTAAACCATAGCACTTGACTTCTCTAATTTCAGTAGCTCTCCAGTCACAAAGAACTAAATAAGTCACTTTAAGTACTTATTATGTGCTTACTTTGTGTGCAGGAAATGTTCTGGACCCTCAATATATAATTATGATTAGTGCAGAGCTCTTGACTTAAAGTCTGGTTGTTCTTATAGGGAAGATACAAATTTAAAAAAAAATCACCTACACCATGGTATAATTTAACCTGTACAGAAGGAGTTGCAAAGGAGGAGAGGTGATTGAAGTCAGTCTGCATATGTGGTCTCAAGGAAGATTGTAATGGGATGGGACCTGATGAATAAGGATGAACATGTGTTTGTCATGAACATGTGGAGGGAAAGAGGGAAGGCAGCCAAGGCCACTCCTAGCACAAGTGATTGTTAGGATGTGTGAAAGCATATTGTGTATTATGGGAACTGTGGTGGCTCAGCATTGCTGGTAGTTAAAATACAGGCATGAGAGATGAAGGTGAAAGCAGTATTCAGACTCAGATGCTAAGGGGCTCTTCATGTACACCTAAAGAATTAGTCGAGAGGGGGAGAGAGCCAGGAAAGAGCCTGATCTGGAGTTGTGATGTTCACCCAGCCTCTTACCTCAAAGGAGAAAACAGTTTATTATGGAGCCAAATATGGGTGACCGTGGCCCAGGTACATAGATTTAGATCATCCCAAATTCCATGTTCCAACATAGAAGCAATTTCATGAGGTTTTTATAGTAACAACAAAGAAAGTCATAAATCAAGGCACTTTTCAAATACATTGGTGAACATAGTAAACATACAGTTATAGCAAAACAGAAATCTCAGCTATAAGCCTCAGATGCTATCTAATAACACTCAAGTCTTTTGGCTGGTGGAAGCTAGGGTTTTGTTAAGTTAATACATTCCACAAGGTTATTTTTAACTGTTACTTACAGGATGTTAGGTCAGACACAGAAGTAGACAAGGGATTTAGGGGGCCAAAGATGGTCCAAGATAAATTGCAATTAGTCTCTGGACCTGCAACATTCCAAATTTCTCCACAATCATTGAATCTCTAATCAGGTGATCATCCCTATAGAAGGCTCAATTTGAAGATGCACATTTTTTTTTCTGGGAACTTCTGTTCACAATTGTTACTGACCAGCAATGGGTTAATAATTTGGGGTCTGTAATTCTGTGATAATAATGTCCTGTGCCTTCACCATCTAGTACAGTAGCAACTAGGCCTATATGGCTGCCTCCCATTCAAAGCCTGGTGACCATCTGAGGCACTGGATATTTATTTTATTTAAGTCTTAGTGTACATACCCCATCTGAGGCTCCCAGCTACTGTGTTGGATAGTAAAACCATTCATCAGTCTCAGAACTGAGTGGACAATAGTTCATCTAATAGCATTTGTTCAATAATGCTTTTAAACCTCTTCTATGCACTTAGCACAAGGAGTATAGGAGATATAGAAGACAGATATTCAGCACATAGAAGTAGCTCAGACCCAGATGCTTCTGCCTGGATCACTTGGGGTACTTGCTAATAGTTAAGATGCCTGGCCCCTTCTGGCGTTTTGCAGCTTGGAATTCTTTCAAGGAAAGTCAGATAACTCATAAAGTTGCTGAAATTCATTGTCTGTTATTCAGGCTTTGGGCAACTGGAGACAGGAAGGCTGACCCAGTAGGAGGCTTTGTATTGGAGGGGAACTTTGTTTCTAGATTGACCTTGAAAAGAAAAACCTAGAAGGCCCCTGTTGCTCTCAAATAGCTATGAGAATCTTTCTTAGAGGAAGTTAGAGGTTTCCTTATAGAAATTAAAGTGGAATTTGCCTAATTCCACTTTCCCAAAGTGTGAACATAACTCAATTTATTCACATTAGAGCCTCTTCTTCCCCTAGACTGAAACTCTCAGCATTCTGCAGTCCAATCCACAGATGGGCTAATTACCACTTCTGCACCCCAACTTATACCTTGGCCTCTTGATAAAATCATCTTGTAGGGAACTTTGAATACACCTTCCCATCAACCCCTAAAATTGAGCAATAAGAGTCACCCTCTAGAGACAGACCTCCAAGGTGGCCTGTCTTGGGTAAGGTTCACCCAGCTTCCAGATTTTCCACAACTAGCTCTCCATAGCCATGGCTTCATAGTATTTGGCAAGACATCAATAGTAAGGCTACCTGGACTGGAAACACTTCCCAGCTTCTGTTCTGTAATCTGAGAACCCAGTACTCCCATTTCTGAGCTGGTATCCAGGCCTCTGTGCTGCTCTGGGCCTGCCAGCTTGCTCCTTTGGAAACAGTTCCACACACGCTTCTCCATTGACAGTGAAAGCTACCTCACGGAAGCACCCACTTCCTCCAGACATGCAAAGCACTGAACTTGAGAAGGACAAACACTCCAGGGTGAATTTCTGCTATAAGCATGTATATCTACCCCCCAAAGCACCCCTTTCCTCATTCTTCCTACCCTTTACAACAAAAAGCATCTATCTTCCTTCAAAAGCCAAATGCCCAAGTGGGCCTTTACTCTCAGCCTTGGCCTCTCCTGTAAGTTTCATATGCGTGGCTCCAGTGTCTTCTCCCATGAACTGATCTTCTGGCATCCCCTTGACTAACCCTTTGCTTTATTTCGCTCCTGTCAGCTTCATGTCATGAAGTACAGTGTTTCTAGGTCTTTACTTTTCATTCCTGACCTGCCCTTCCACTTGACCACTGAACCTACTTTGGCTAAGATCACCCGTGAGATTCATGGAGGCCATTCCAAGGACTTTTCTCAATTCATTTAACTTCTCAGAACTTTCTGGCCTGAATGGCTGTTCTCTCTTGTGTTAGCCCTGCCTGTGCGGGACTTGCTAGTACCTCATCCCCTGTTTTCTTCCTGCCCCATGGCTGTTCCTTTTCATTCACCTTTCCTGCTTTCTTTTCCTCCTTTTCCCACAAAATGCTGGTATAGTGAAAGGCCCAGGTTTCTGTTTCTTTCTCATTTATTCCCAAGTTATATCACCCCTTTGCTTTAAATTCCACATAAACAGTGGGTGAATCCAAACTTCTTCTGAGCCTCAGACCCATACCCAATTGCCCTATTTATTTTGAAAACTGAATCACCAGATAATACCCTTTGTCCACTAAAAAGAATTTCCTTTTCAACCTGTATTCTTTCTCATTATATTAGATAAATAGCATGAAAGTCCATTCATTTTGTAAATCAGAAGCCTTGGGGGCATTTTGATTTCTCATCTTAACATCCCTCACTTCAGTCCATCAGCAAGTCCTGTTCGCAAATAGTCTGTGATGAAGATGGGCCTCACAGAGAAGAAGCAATTTAGAACCAGGTTCACTAATTTCCCATCAGGCTGAGGAGAAGCTGTGCACACAGGCTCCACAGAAGTCCTTTTCTTTCTGAGATGAGCCATAATGACAGGCACTGGGTTCCACCCTTAAACATGTACACTTTTACCCCATTATGCCTTCTTATAGGCAATCAGTATCCATAGCAACCTTAAAATTCACAGGACGCAGGCTTTCTCATTGCTGGCTAACCAAAGGACATAATGAAACCAAAGAGGTAAAAAGCAGACTGACTCAAGCCTCACTTCCTTTCTTTAGAGTGACACATGTTCATGTACAGAGACACATGGCAGAGCACCATTTCTTGTAGTGTTCTAGATAGAATTAATCTGTTTATTTTCAATATGCATCAACTCTGTTTTTGAAATATAATTGGTAATAATGTTGCTTCTTTGCTGTTTTGTTTTGTTTTGCTTTTTTTGAGACTTCACCCTGTAGCCCCAGCTGACCTGGAACTCGCTATGTAGACCAGGCTGGCCTTGGTCTCACAAAGATCTGCCTGCCTCTATCTCCTGAGTTCTGTGATTAAAGGTGTGTGCCACCATGTCTGACTGCTTCCTTCTTTTTTTAGGGGAGACAGCGCCTCACTGCTTTATAACTTTCTACTTGTCTAGGTTGGCCTTGAACTTGACATCTTCCTGCCTCGGCATCCCAAGTGCCAATAAGAGACCCTGTCTTAAAAAAAAAAAAATGGTGGATAGTGCCTGAGGAACACCAGATGTTATCCTCTGACATATGTACACAAGTGCATACATATGTGTGCACACATACACATGCATCTGTGTGCACATACACAAAATACTTGTTTATTGTAGCAAATGTGGGAAAATAAAATTATAGTTACACTAAATCACAACTAATAGAAATAACTATCATTAATGTTATGACATGTTTTTGTATATTTTCTTTTACTTATATGTGCACATATAATACAATACACACGCACATGCACACACACACACACACACACACACACACACACGTTAAGGTCCAGAATCTGAAAGTATTTGGAGGAGAGGAGGAAGGCAGGGAGAGAGGGAGGGAGGGAGGGAGGGAGGGAGGGTGGAAGGAAAGGAATAAGGAAGGAAGGCCTATTGTGATGGTTAGTTTTTACTGTTACCTTGACACAATTTAGAATCACCTGGGAGAGTGTCTCAATGAGAGATTGTCTAGATCAGGTTAGCCAGTGGGCATGTCTAGGGAGCATTGTCTTGATCTCGACTATTATGGTGGGAAGACCTCTCAATGGTAGGGAACACTGATCCCTAGATTTGGGTCCTAGAGTACGTAAGAGTGGAGAAGGTGAGGTGGGTGCTGGCATACATGCATTCATCTGTTGCTTTCTGCTCTTGAATGTGAATGTGATGCAGCTGCTTCAAGTTCCTGCCTTCTTGACTTCCCAAAAGTGATGAATTTGAACTTGGAACTCTGAGCTAAAATTAAACCCTTTCTCCTGTAAGCTGTTTGCCAGGGTATTTTTTTCATAACAGCAGAAAGGAAAGTAGAATATTTGTCTAAATTTCAGATGTTTGTGAACCAGAGATATGTCCATTTATCTGGGTGTCCATGACCAATACCCTTGTTAATGATTACTGACTGGGTAGTGTTGGTGAACAGGGACAGGAGTCACTGTTGGCTGACTACCTACTGTCTTCAAGACTCAGGCAGTTTTTTTACTCAAACCAGCTTAAGAGAAATTAAATAAAAAGGGGTTTCCAAGCAACCATGAAGTCTTTTTTATAGCACTACACCTGCCTTTTTTTAGTAAAAGATGTTTTTGATGCTGAGACATTAAATATGTTTCTGCAAAAATTACTACCTTTAAAAAATCAGTGTTCAGTGAAAGGTAGGCAATTCCTGTTGTGCTATCTTAGTCTTCACCCAAATGGTATCACAGTGTCTACAACCAGGAAAGGCCTTACAGATTACTTGACTCCTTAGTTTGCAAAATTTTGTTAGCAGAGAATGCATTTTCATATACATCCTCAAGCTGCCATGACATGTGGCAGTCAGCATATTTTTTTCAGGTGAAGCAGGGTTGAACCTGTGGCCTAGACCCACAGCATCCCACTCTTCACCCTTCCAAGGTAGCTCTAACTGCTAAGGTGGACCCTGACATCTCTGAAGGACAGGGTTTAAAAACTGTGCATCTCATCTTGTACTTTCTAGATGTGGCAACTGAAAACTGCTAATACTAACTTAAGTCATCAATGAAAATGAGGATATTCAAAGCCAGGGCCCACCCAGCCTACAACCTGGTGTTTCCACCCTGGGAGATACTCCTTTCAGTGTCCAGGAGGCCCTTTCCTGGCCTTACCCCTCCCTACCTGGATTACACTGAGCAAGGCCCAGGACCTTGATCACATAACTATACAGAGCATGATTCTGCCACTCACCAGCATGACAAAGGAGACTGGTCTCTTCCACAGGTGTTTGTTATGTGCAAAGTTTCAAAAGGATTCATTACTTTTTTTTCCTCCTCCCATCACAGAGTATCTTAGAAGTATCTCCCTGCCTGTCCCGGTCCTGGTGGAAGATACCAGCAGCAGCAGTGAGTATGGCTCCGTGTCACCTGACACAGAGTTGAAGGTGGACCCCTTCTCTTTCAAAACCAGAGCCAAGTCCTGTGGAGAAAAGGATGGGAAAGGAATACGGACTCTCTTTTTGGGGTAAAGACCTGATTTATTTGGGGTGAGAGAAGTACCTTGTGAAGTATGTCATTTTATAAAGGACGCTATGACTTACGCTGCACCAATGATTACAGCATTCCAGATGAAAACTTTGAAGATCACAGTGCGCCCCCTTCCCCTGAAGAAAAAGACTCTGGGTTCTTCATGCTGAGGAAGGATAGTGAAAGGCGAGCTACCCTTCACAGGATCCTGACAGAAGACCAGGACAAGGTTGTGCGGAACTTGATGGAATCGCTGGCCCAGGTGAGATCCCTCAGGGTTCTTCACCTCCTAAAGACTTACACATGTTTTTCCTAAATTAAATTAATTTTCTTATAGAGTCTCATTATGTTGACCGCGAAGCTGGGCTCAAGCTATCCTCTTGCCTCAACCTTCTGACTATCTGGGGCTACAGGTGTGTACAACAATGCCCCAGCCAAATGCTACAAAGTTTTAACTGTATTCTTACTACTGGAGTTGTAGCAGGTGATCTGGAAAGATGAGGAAGCCAGCACTGCTCACAGTGATAAAACAGACCTCCATGCTGGGTGCGGTGGTACACCCCTGTAATCCCAGTGCTTGAGAGGTAGGAGGATGGTGAGTTCCGTGCCAGCCGCCACTACATAGGAAGACCTTTGTTTCAAAAATACAAACAATTCTCTCCTAAGGTAAACAAATTTTTTAAAAACCCCAAATGTAGGAACTGTATTTGTCAACATGAGCTATTTGTAAGTCAAAAGTATATTGCTCTTACCTACTTTCCATTCCTGTCTGCTTGCTTCCCCTTCCCTTTCCCTCACTCTCTCCATTTTTCCCTTCCTTCTTGTATTATTTTTTCAAAGGCTAGGTGAACTGAATTCTGTTCTTTAATAGAATTAAGGTATTTACAGTTCTAGTTGAAATGGTAAAATGTTGATACTACTAGACTGCATGACAACAGTATATGTGTATTGTTTTTTAACCAGTTAGTATACATTAATTAGCATACATTATATTTTCATACATGTACAGAAGGTAGATGGCAGAAGCAGATTTTTCACGTTGGTGAGCTTCTGCCTGCTCCCTACAAACCTCTTTTGCTGTCCATTCATTCAGTCAGTAAACAAGGATAGAGGCACATGAATGTCTCATTCTGACTTTTGCTGGAGGCTGCCTGTCAGGTTCTCCTCTGATCATCTGGAAACATTCACAGATACAGCAGAACCCTGTGCTTATGAAGTTAATACATTCACATGGGGGATGATGGGCAACAGTAAGTAAATTATGTAGTTTGTTAGAATTGTGCAGTGAGAAAAACAAGCTTGTCAATAAAGCTATTGTTCCCTTGTGTATACCTTGCTAGGATTGCCATAACAAAATGCCACAAACTAGGTGACTCATGTTACAGAAGTTTGTTTCTTCACAGTTCTGGAGGCTCACAATCCAAAGTCAAGATTCTGGCCCATTTGCTTTCTTCTAAGGACTCTCTATTTGGCTGCTGATGCCTGTCTTCTTCCTATATCCTGAGATGACCTTTTCTTTGTGTATGAGCATCCCAGTGTCCCTTCTACATCTAATAAAGTCCCCAGTCCAGCTGGATTAGGGCCCTATCCTGATGATTTCACTTAATTATCCCTTTAAAGGTCCTATCTCCAAACATTTGCCTTCAGTTAGGCCTTTGATGTATGAATTGGGGCAGAAGGGCACAATTCGTTCTGTCTCTGTGAATGTATGTTCCCAGAATCCTGTTTACAAACCTGAGGAAAATGTTTCTTTCTGAATCTACACCAGAGAAAACAGGATTTTCCTCAGTCCCCAGCTTCTGGGTGTGGAAGCTCAGACCTGTGGGATACAGGTCTTCTGCAGACAAACTGAATCCCCAGCAGGACCCTTGTCATCCTGTGAACATCAGGGCCTTGACCACCCATCCTTCCCAATCACTGTGAACTACTCGTGGTAGCTGTGATCACTGCAGACTGCTCATAGCTTCTTCCCTCCTTTGGTTCTGGCAAAACAGCTTTAAAGAAGGTAGAGAGGTGAGCTGAGCTGTTAATAACTGTCTTGGTCGGAGAGTTGGCCTGTTCTTGTCTTTTATCAGGGCAGACGTGCAGCAAGGCTATCTTGGTCTTGGTTCAGCCCCAGCTTGTCTCTGTCTTGAGAACCCCACTATGCTCCTGAGGTGTTTTTGAGGCTGAACATTTTGTTACCTTAGGAATTTCCTAATGGCCACCTCTTTGGATCCCATTGGACAAGCCATGTGTGATTTGGGGGTTACAGGGAGAACTGAAAGGAATGCCACTTGTACTTTCAGGGGAAGCCATCACGTAGTCCTAATGGAATGCTTTCTCAAGCAGTGAACCTGAGGCCCAGAAAGAAGGTGTCCTGGCATAAGGGGCAGCCAGGCCTCTGGGAGATAGGGTAGGTTCAAGGATGCTGGACATGACCACAGTGGTCATTCAGGAGCTGAGAGTAGGATGGGTTGAGATAAGAGGAGAAATCAAGGTTAGATGGAAAGAGAAGGTGGACATACTTGGAATCCATTCATTCATTCAACAAATACTGCACATATACTAAATACCAGCACTGGTCCATATTCTAGGGATACAACAAGAAATAAAAAAAAATCTTGTATCTCACCAAACTTGATATTCTAGTAGAAAAAGAAGAATAATTAAAAAGCAACTATACATTAGATGTATTGTAATCATAGCAAACATTTTCTCTGGCCATTATTCACCTGTATTCTCATGACATAGGACTTAAGTAGTATTGGTTCTGTTAGTATCCACCTTTTCCAGATGAGGAAACTGAGGCAGAGAGGATTTGTGTAGCTTCCAAGATCATGCAACCCTAACGGATGGAGTCGGGGTTTGACTGCAGAGCGACTGTTCCAGGCTGTGTGTTATGAACATCCCACTGCTCTGGCTTCCTGATATGGCAAATGGTGACAGGTTCTGAGAGAAACAAGCAGGGATGGGAAAACCAAGAAAGTGCCTAAATCGTATACATGTTCCCCCAAAATATTGTTTTCCAGTACAGAAAATTTCTGCTTGTTTGGGGATTTCCCTTGTCTCCTGATGGACTGTCACCCCAATTGCCCGGACCATACCTGTAGCCCCAGCTCCCAGCACAGAGACTGGCAAAAATAATTTACGTCTATGACTACTAAAGTTCTAATTCATTAATTTACTGATTGATTGATCAGATTTCATATAAAGATTAAACCCAGGACGCTGAATATTTTAAGCACATGTTCTCCAAGCTACAGTCCAGTCTGGAATTCTTACATTTTGAAGGTTTTAATCATTTTCAGTGGTCTAGTTCATCCTAGCTTTTAAAGTACACGTGAATGTTCCCTGTAAAAGGGAAAATGGAGAATTACCTTCTAGGCAACCCTCAGAAAACAGGCCTTGGGATACCGATATGAAACTCCTCAGAGTACCAGAAACTGCCAATCAGGGTCACAAGGCCAGTGCGAATGGTCAGAGGATAATGAGGGACTGCACTGTTCAGAACACTGAATTCCTTTGAGGGACATCAGTCATACCACATGGTGACTTGGTGACAGAACAGGTCCTTGCCTCGATTTACAGCTGTTGTTCCAGAACATGGAGGGGTGAGGAGGTAGGATACATGGTTAGGAGCTAGGGCTCAATTTGGACTTGTCTCTGTTGGAGTCCTCCTTCCATCATTTAGCGGCTGTGCGGTTTGGGTAACTTATTGACCTTCTCAGAACCTGAGCTTCTTCACTGTGAGAATGAAGAATCTGTCTTATATGGTTGCTAGGGTCATAGACAATTTGGGTCACAACAGGAAGTAGTGCACAAATGGAAATTTGTTATTATCAGCCAGGGTAATTCTTTAATTGTTGTTCTACAATCAGATGGAAATCATTTTCTCATAACTTTTAAAATAGTTCTAGATACATCTTTACATTTCAACATAACCTTAGAACAAAATGGAAAGATGGTTCTTGGTCAGGTCCTCAGTATATTAACCCATGAAAAGCTCTTACATTTTTTTTTTTTGGAATGCATGTGTTGCATGCACTGGAGTGTGCATCACATGCACATGAAAAGGTCAATGCAGAAAGTTATCTGCCTTTATTGCTGCCTTATTACCTTGAAATAGGATCACTCACTGAACCCGAAGTTTGTTGTTTTGGCTAGGCTGGCTGACCAGTGAGCTCTTAGGATCTACCTGTTTCTATAGGTACATATGGCCATGCCTAGCTTTTTACAGGAGTGCTAGGGGTTTGAACTCAGGTCCTCATGCTTAGAGAGCCATCTCCCCAGTCCAAAAAGCTCTTTTAATCTATACTACCTTTCAAAACTCCACAATTTCCAAGGTAATTTAAAGAATAAAGAATAAGGGACTGGGGAGATGACTCAGTGAGCAAGAGCACTTGCTGTGAAAACAAGAGGATCTGCGTTCAAATCCAAATCCCCAGAACTCACATAAAAGCAGAGTGTGATAGGGCATATCTGTAACCTCAGCATTGCAGGGCAGAAACTGAAGATCCTGGGTGCTTGCTGGTCAGCTAGCCTAGCAGAAACAATGAGCTTTAGCCTCAATGAGAGACCCTATCTCAAATAACAAGGTGGAGAGTCATAGAGGAAGACACCTGATGTCCTTCTCTGGCCTCCACATGTGTGGGTGCCTGAACAGACCTGCCCCCTACCCCAGGAGCAGAGAGGACTTTTGCAGAAGACTTGTGAAAGGCTCACTGTCAAATGCTGCCTTCACTCTGAACCCCGCTGAACATGCTCATAAATGAAGGCCCATGAATGAGTTAATGCAGAGGAACTGGAATTAGGACAGAAATAATGATTGCATAAATGGATGAAGTAGCCTGGACAGGAAACATTTCCCACAGTAGAGAGTGTTCCTTTGTAGGACAGTGACAAACACATCCAAAAACCAGAAGCAACATGTTTTTCTGTTGTTAAAACAAATCTAATGTCAAAAATAAATGTTTGCTTTCCAAGGCATTGACAAATCTACTACTGATTTTTCACTAAGATAAGCTTCCAGTATCTGGATAACTCACATTTTCTTTCCTGAGCAAATTTTCCTGGTGTTGTGCTGTTGCTTGTGAATCTTTACTCTGGGTGTCATTTAGTTTGTGGTAAGGAAAAAAAAAAGTTTATAATTGTTTCCAGTATGACTTTAAAATGTTTCCTTAATGACAGCCTGTAAGCCTTTCAATTTAGACTTTTCTCCTGAAAACATAAGCCTGGAACTAAGCTCCTAGATGAAAAATAATATGTAGAGAGGATGATGATGCATTTTTATTTTAATAGAAGTCTAATAATTGTAATTTTCACAGCCCAGTTGAGAAACTTCATTTTAATAATACAGTAAAAAAATGTAATGAGATAGAAATGAACTTAATAAAATTATATTGGTTTTTTAAAGTTAAAACAGGGTAAATGCCATTTTAAAAATGTTATTTACAATTTTAAAAGTTTTTGATTTATTTTTATTTTATCTATATAAGTGTTTGCCTACATGTATATGTCCATGCATGCAATGTCCACAGAAGCCAGAAGAGGATGTCAGATTCCTTAGGACTGGAGTTATAGACAATTGTTAGCCACCATGTGGGTGCTGGGAACCAAACCCAGATCCTCTGCAAGAACAGCCAGTGCTCTTAACTGCTGAGCCATTTCTCCAGTTCCTATTTATTTTTATTGTATGTATATGAGTATCTTGTCTGCATGTATGAAAGTGCACCACAGAAGCCAGAAGGCATCAAATCTCCTAGAACTGGAGTTAGTGATAATTGTTAGCCATCATGTGGGTGCTAGGAACCAAACCTGAGTCTTCTGCAAGAGTAGCCAGTGCTTTTAAGTGCTGAGTCATGTCTCCAGCCCCAAATTATGTTTTATGTACCTTGCTCAAAGTACAAAAATAAAATTCAGTTTGAGAAAGATTTGTTTAAATACGTAAAGTAGTCCCTGGTCCATTCTTATACATGATTAACTAGTTGTTGGGTAAAGAAGGGTAGGATCTCAGTTTGAGAAAGATTTGTTTAAATACGTAAAGTAGTCCCTGGTCCATTCTTATACATGATTAACTAGTTGTTGGGTAAAGAAGGGTAGGATCTGAGATTGGCCCTCTTTCTCTTTGATTGCAAGGAACTGACTCACTCTAAGGGCAGTGGAAGTACCAGGGACACATTGTGATGCACACAACAGTGAAAGACATAGCCTCTTGGTGTCTAGCCAAGTCTCAGAGACAAATCTCAAGTGTGTGAGTCCAAGAGACTTGAAGTTGCAGAAGTTCACATCTGTTCCCTGGCTCTACTGCTACTGGCCCTCCTGATGTGTTTCTCTTCTGTCTACTGCTCTTCTCCCAGCCTATTCATTCCCAAATCCATTGCTTTTACTTCCTTCCTTGTAATTGGATGCATTCCTGACCCTATTTTATAACCTCCATCTGAGCAGACTTTGAGATTAAGATTCTATGGCTCCTTGCCTGGATCTTAACTCTAATGCCCAATTAAAATTTCTGAGCACAAGACTCTCACTGCCTCAACTTATCCATGTTTGAGCAAAACTTTGTGTATCTGACTATGTCACGGCTACTGACAAGTGTGTGGGTTAGCCAGCCCTTTCTGCAGAAGCTGGTTATTTCTGGAAATGGTGATGGATGCTAAAAGGAGCTACGGAGTTCAAAGTCTTTTTCCTTAGCAGAAGGTCCTTTGGAGCCCAGTTCATCTCAGAAAGGGCTATGGGAATGGAATGCCCATGACTGATGTGCGCAGTACAGAGTGACTGAGGCCTTGTGGGGCTTTATTTGCAGGGTGCTGAAGAGCCCAAACTGAAATGGGAGCACATCACAACCCTTATTGCGAGCCTCAGAGAGTTTGTGAGGTCTACTGACCGAAAAATCATAGCCACCACACTGTCAAAGCTCAAGCTAGAGCTGGACTTCGACAGCCACGGCATCAGCCAAGTGCAGGTGGTCCTCTTTGGCTTCCAAGACGCAGTAAGTACAACATCTTGCCAGTGCTTTCCCACAAACTCTGCTGAAAATCAGTCATAAAAATAAGATGCGACTTAAGTTCTGTTCTCTTTTATTCCTTCAATAAGCTCTATTCTCTGGATGGTAAATGAGGTATTCATCAAGTTGTGTGCCTCTAGGTATCAAGTATGTTTGTGTCATTGAATCCTCCAAGATACGAGACCCACAAAACTGAATCCGCATGGAAGATAGCAAAACTTACAAACAACTCCCGTTGTCAAAGTTTCTTAAGAAATCATATGGTGGTTTGCTGTTTGTTTTGGTGAACTTAGTAGCCTAGCACATTAGTCCTGAACTTTGTAATGCCGTTCAAGAAATGCCATCTAGTGGCCATTGAGAAAAATGCCTAGTACAGGTTGGAATGCTCACTGCTGAATACCAGTGATTAATTTTTTCCCACTGTTTTTCTCTGGTTTCCATATAGAACATTCTTAACATATTTATTTCATATGTATCTACTATTTTCTCTCTAGAAATATAATTCAGAGTACAGACCATCATTGATGGAAAATTAATCCATATGATCTAATGAGAGATTACTGACAGTTCTCTCTAAAATTTAGTTGCTGTGCAACACAAACTAGAAGCCAATCTTCTGCAAGTCTGTTATTCTTAGGTAAAGCTTTTCTGTAGACTTTGTGCCCCAAATACCTTAAGCCACTCTTAGAGACTCTTAAAGGTGTAGGAAACATAAGGTGTCCTGATGGTGCCCGTGATGTGACTGTGGGATCACTTTGTATGCTATTATTTACATTTCAAAAACTAATGTTATTGCTTCTACATAGGAGGTGACTTGACAGTTGTATCTGAAGCATCAAATGATCCCAAATTCAAAACCAAGTTTTCATCCTTCAGTAGACACTAGTGTTCTGTGACATTGTGTAAGCCACTTAGTCTTTGTGCTAAATGATAAGCAGGGACAAGAACCCTGACTGAACTGGGGTCAGAGAACATGAAAGCAAATAGCAAAACCTATCACTAATAGTAAATGTTAAAGGTATGCTTATGCCACAATGAGGGAAACCTAGGGGTCTGCAGATAGAGTGAAATAATTTAGCTAATTTGCATTTGCCCATACATTGACTTCTAGGCGAGAAGTTGGAAAGCCAATTGGCTGTAGAATTTAGAGTGAGAGCTATTTAGCTGTAATCCTGGGCTTGGGCCCAGGTCTAACACAAACATGCAACTCACCCCTGCTCTGCTTGCTCACTGTCCAGTGTGGGAATGGACCTTGGACAGCATTCTGTGTTACAAGGAACTTTAAGGAACAGGTCATAGTTCTGCCACTGTTTGTGACTCCTGGGAGAAATATTCTGTTTTTCTAACTGATATACCTGTGAGCCACATAAGCACAATACATTTACACATAAGCATAAATACATTTAAGAAATGAAGGTACCAGGACAATTCACACTCATGCTGTGAATTTCTTAAATGTAGGTACCAGGACAAACATAGTCTGAAAGAACTTCCTGGAACCAGAGGTCCTAGAGATGATTCATTTCCTTGGGAGTAACTACTCTGAGGAAGTCCTTATACTGACTCCCCTCTAGACTGGGTGATTTTGATGAGAATGGACCAAGGGTGAGACTGAGCCATTGGTATGACAGCTCTTGCCATGGGTTTGCAACTCAGTCACCATTTCCCAGTTTCCATACCCTTGCTGGGGAAATTCAGTTTATCTTTACTGAAAACCTCTTGAACTCTCCCTACTTTTATGCCTTCCACCAGCCATCCCACAGACTCAAAGTCTGAATACCAGGAAGGTATTCTCACTTCACTAGAGGGCTTCCCACTTAAATAACATTTAAGTTATTTGCCTAAATGGAACTGGATCAATTTTAATCAATGGATTTTTGTTTTTATTTTTTTTCCCCTTTGTTTTCTTTGAATCAGAGTTGTACCCAAGCTGGCCTCAAATTCAGGATCCTCTGTCTCAGCCTCTTAGCACGGGGATTATAGGTGTGTGCTATCACATCTAGCTTTCAGCTTTAATTTGCAGTGGCAATGTTTGTTTCCTAGTGACAGGAAGAAATTATTTGTAATTTAAGGTAAAGGAGGTGTTTAGTTACTTTTATAGATGGAAGCTCATCCAGGTGCTTGAATCAGCCAGATTACTTACAGTTAAAAATTAAAATAGACTAGGGCTAGAGAAATGTCTCCAAGGGTAATGCCACTTGCCCCAAGTCTGACGACCTGAGTTCAATACCTGGAACCCGCATGGTAAAGAGAGAACTGACTTATACGAGTTGTCCTCTGATCACCATATGCGTGCATGCTGCAGCACAACACCCCCCCCCCGGGGGGCGGGGAAGAGGAGGAGGAGAAGGAGATAATAAATGTAAATAAAAAATTAAAGTAGACTAAATGTCACTCTGTTTTTCCAGGTCAATAAAGTTCTTCGGAATCATAACATCAAGCCGCACTGGATGTTTGCCTTAGACAGTATCATCCGAAAAGCCGTACAAACAGCTATTACCATTCTGGTTCCAGGTCAGAACTGTTTAATTACTGTGTAAATAATTAGTGCTTGTATATGTTAGATTGCTGTTCCTCTGTCATTTCATTTCTGACATTTCCTTAATACTTTTATGAGCATGGTTGCATTTTTAAAAATCATGTCAAAGCTACCAAATAACATTTATTGAGTGCATCTAGTCTGCACAGCAGGACATCAAACAGAATGTTCACTGTAATGACAATCTGCTTAAGCAGCACATTGGGCATAAAGAAAAACTGGAAATTTATAAGGTACCCTAAATAAATATGCATTTCAGTATATAGATATGTGTGCTCCAAAACAGGTGTCTTTGTCATTTTTTAAAAACCAGTGATCCCTAGGTCTGCTAATACATTCAGCAAATATTATAGCTTTCAGAGTCTATCTCAGACCAAATGGCGATAATCTGCTGGCGTTTAAGGCCCAAGTATTGAATTTTTTTTTAAATCATATTTTTTTTATTCTTATTCTTTTATGAAGTTAGTTAAAAATTAATGAACAAGAAATTAAAGAGACTGCACTGCAATTAAGTTAGAATATTCTAACTGGAAAACAATTACTGTGAAACTATTTACATTCTCATAGAATTATAAACATTTCTCAAGGAATACTTTACAGCACAACTTTTTTTTTTTCATACAGAAGAATTCATTCCAAAGCAATTGTATTGAATTTTTAAAAATAAAAAAAAATGTCTGTTCTGCTGGGCGTGGTGGCACACTTGGGTGACGATCCCAATACTCGGGAGGCAGAGGCAGTCAGATCTCTGCGAGTTAAAGGCCACCCTGGTCTACATAGTGAGTTTCAGGACAGCTGGGGCTACAAAGAGACCCTGTCTCAAAAAGCCAAAAAAATTGTTCTGTTCTTTAAGAGTAGTTTAAGGTTAATCACAAAATTGAGAGGAAAGTGCAGTTTCCCGTGTATTTCTGTCCCTACACATGCATAGTATCTCCTAATGTCAGCATCCATACCCGACAGGCAAATTTATTATAGTCGATGAACCTGTATTAGCACATTGTAGTCACCCAGAGTCCAGAGTTCACAAAGGAACACCCTTGGTATTGTACAGTCTATGGATTTGTATAAATATATAATGATGCACATCTACCATTAGAGTGTAATACAGAATATTCTCATGGCTTTGAAAAGTCCTCTGTGCTCTAACCTAGGTATCCAATTTCAGTAGAGCTCCTAGGTCATTTTGATGCATGATGGAGTTTGGAAATCACTGGCCTAAACATATCCCTAGCTATACTGGCAGAAAGATACAAAACAATAGTGCTGAGGAAACAAGGTGTATGCGGTCAGTGAGGAATGTCTTCAAACTCTAAGGTCAAACCTCCAGAGTGTTTTGGTCATCTATTCAGTAGTAAGAAATTTTAAGCTGTGCTCTTCTGACCTGTGGATATATGGTGGAGGTGTCACTGGATAGGTAGGTAGATAGATTTTTATATATGAATTAGGAACATACACTACTGTCAAGCTTTATACCTGAATTGTAAAGGTAGAAAACAGAAACTTAAAAGGATCAATATGAAATATTTTAGAATTCAGATTATTTACAAATGTTTACATCAATGTCAATCCTTCTTTTCCACTCAGAGTATGTTGTTTGGCTTTTTTTTTTGTTTGCAGCTATTTTATTTACAAGTATACATTTAACACAATGGAATAAACACTGATAACTGAAGCCTAGTTAATAGCAGTGTAACAATATGTATCAATTTGATGATTACATTATTTTAAACAAACTACACTGAAAAATTAATGCCTATAAAATTCTTGGTCATAATATTAAGAAATACAATACATAAATTGAAAATATGATTGTTTAAAATTTGAAAATAGAAGTGAATTCATTTGGACAGAGTCAGACGTTAACATAATCTGAAAGGGGAGGAGCTCCTACCCAAATGACATCTTTCAGGTTAACAGAAGAAAAAAGTAGCATAGTTTGTCTTCAAGGATGATGGGCAGTTTGCTTCTTCAGGGAAAATATATTCCCAGTGTCCTCAGGTTCTGTGGCAGAATCATCACATCACCAAACAAGAAGGCTTTCCTTGTGAAGCTGCCCCATCAATCTTTTCTGCTTCCAAAATTATCCTCTTAAAAACATCACCAGCAGTCTGATTTTCTTTAGCAGAAGAAGGATCTAAAAGAGCTGCATTCTAAGATTCTGCCAAAGCTTTCCCTTCTTCATAACTGATCACCCTTTCCATATGCAGGTCTTTCTTGTTTCCAACCAGCATAATAGGTATTTGCACTTCCCCACCATATCCAATAATTTGCTATAGATGACTTTAATCACTTCAAAACTTTGGGGGGGGTGAGGGGGGAGGAAAGGGTTTACCATCATTAGTACCCATATTTTCTAGGTCTGTTTACTGAGAGGACGTAGCTTGTAGTTTCTAAACTTCTATAGAAATGGTTGCTGTCTGGCCTGAGGCAGGAGAAATACAAAATGAGCTTGGGACATCTTGTGGTGACAGGAAGTAAGGAAGTACCTGAAGATGATGGGGGCTATTGAAAGGACACTGTTGTCGACGTGAAGGAATTACCAGTAATCCATGATAGAACAATCTGAGCAACAAAATGAAATAAGTTTAAAGATGATTGAGGGCTGGAGCGGTAGCTCAGCCGTTAAGAGTACTGACTGCTCTTGCAGAGGACTGGGATTCGGTTTCCATCACCCATATGGCTGTTAACAACTGTCTATAACTCCAGTTCCAGGGGATCCATTGCCCTCTTCCAGTATCTGTGGGCATTGCATGACATGGGCACACTTACATACATGCAGGCAAAACAATCACATAAAATAAAAATAAATAATTAAATTTAAAAATTTTTAATTAGCCGGGCATGGTGGCCTGTGCCTTTAATCCCAGCACTTGGGAGGCAGAGACAGGAAGATCTCTGTGAGATCAAGGCCAGCCTGGTTTCCATAGTGAGTTCTAGACTACACATGGCACACATACACTTAGAGACACATACACACACATACACACATAAATATGACATATATGTATATATATTGAATTATAAATCTGTATTAGTAATTTTTCTATCATTATAGCAAATTCCTGAGATAATCAGTTTATTTTGGCCATGATTGGTTGATCCCATGGTGACATTCTGGTGAGAACACTTAGCAGAGCAAAGCATCTTAGCTCACAGCCAGAAAGCAAAAGAGGTGAAAAGGATGAGACTGGGGTTCCACAGTCTACTGTGAGTCCCTAATGGTTCTTCCTCCTCCCAGAGGTGCCACGCTGAGATAAGAGGCTTAGCCACATGGACCCCTTGGGGACACTTCAGACCTAAACTGTAGCAAGCTCAACAAATAAGCGAAATACCATGAATCTGAGTTGATATAAATAATTGAATAAAAACTACACAGAAAAGAGGGTCAGCCCTTTACTGTAATAGAATTCCATTTGACAAATGTAGAAAGAATGAAGGAAATGGAAAAAATCATTACGAGGCAAACACCACAGTAGTAATTACTGCAGGCAAGGACTATCAATGACTGCTAAAATTAATAGGCAGAACAGTGATGAGATACAGAACAGTGGTCAGTTTCTAGGTCTCTTGCTGATATTTACTACCAAGGGAAACAGTAACTTTATGGGTGAGGGCCCTGGATTTCCCCCAACCAAATGTACATCACTAGTACTAATTAAAAGCCACTGCATCACGCACCTCCTGATAATGATGCCTTGAAGGGGAACAGCATCACATCTGTAATATTCTTGCCAAGAAATGCATAGTCTTAACTTCATCATGACAAGGTACAGGTAAAGCTAAAATGAAGGATATTGTGCAAAGTATCTGAGCACTTCTCAAAAGTGTGAAAGGCTTGGGAGGCTGAGGCAATAGGATCATGAGTTCAGTGCCAACCTGGGCTACCGAGTGAAACCCTGTCTCAAAAGACAAAAACTGAAGAAGTGTGAAGGTCTTGAAAATTGGTAAGATTGGAAGCGACCAAGAAAAGATGCCAACTAACTGCAATAAGAGAACTTCAATCAGAAAAAAGACAGATTAAAATAGAAAAATGAATGAAAATTTCAGGGTATGATATTGTACAAGTCTGTGATCCTAGCACTTAGGAAGCTGAGGCAGGGTGATCAAGAACATGAAGCCAGCCTGAGCTACATAGTAAGATCTTGTCTAAAAAAGAGAGAGAAAGAGAGAAAGTACATTAGTTACTTTTAGTCTGTTGCTGTGATAAAACACCATGACCAAGACAAAACAACTGATAAAAGAGTGCATTTGACTTATGGTTCCAGAGGGATAAGAGTACATCATAGCTGGGAGGCAGAGGTGGCCAAAGCAGAAAGCTGAGTGCTCACATCTTCAAGCACTCACAGGAAGCAAAGGGAGAAAAGCTGGAACGGGGACAAAGCTATGAACTCTCAAAGCCTGCCTCAGTGATGTGCTTCCTCCAGCAAAGTCACACCACCTAAAGGTTCCACAACTCTTCCTAAACAGCGCTACCAATTGACCAGGTGTTTAACTGTTTGGAACCTATGGGATATTCTCATTCAACCCATCAAAGAAGGGAGAGAGAGAGAGAGAGAGGGAGAATCTCAAGTAATGTAGATTTGTTAATGGCATCAGTGTTAGTTTCCTGGTTTGAATAGTAATTCCAAAGGCATAGAAGACATTAAGATTACGGTAAGCTGCCGAAGGGCATAAAGAACTCTCTGTAATATTATATAACTTTTCTGTTATTCTAAAATTATTTCAAAATAAAAGGTTTTTAAAAAACTGTTCAATCTTCTATTCCAAAAAGATCACAGAGAACAGAGAGTGCAGTGGGAGTCCCTTAGGAATTCTTTTCTTAGACTATTTTCTCACTTGTCACAAGAATGAGCTTTAAGATTATCGTCAACATTAAGTGTCTCTTGCTACTTCTCAAGTGCAGTGTGACTGCGGGTGACCACACAGAGACATACTGAGCATAGAAACCAGGGTGGCCCTGTGCCCCTGTTCAGCA